CATAATTTTTAATATTAAGTATATTTTTTTAAATAAACTTCTTAACTTTTAATTGTATTTTATTTATAACACCTAATACACTTTACGAATTTCTCTCTTTTCTTTAAATTTCTTCTAAACACACATGCTTAAAAATAAATGATGGCAAATAAAAAATTAAATTAAATTATATACGGGCAATAAAAGTGACCATTTTTTGTTGCAATGTGCACTATGCGCGACCTTACCCCCACTACGCCAAAACCTTGCCAACTTACGTGCCGCTTACTATACTATAATGTAAAATTACTCCGGCTTCTCTCTAAACAATGTTTTTATATTTCACTGATAAACTCACACCATTTTGTTCCACTGAAAACTTTATTGAAGTAGAAAGAACGGTATACATACAAACTAAGTAAACCGTAATTAAGGGGTAAGACAGGTATTAAGAAACCGATCAAGTTCAGGTAAAACTTGAGCCCTGAGAACTTCGGGCCCCAAGTTACATCCTTCACATAGCTACGCAACCCTCCAGGATAAATGATCATGTATTGTGCGTATCACACACTCATACACGCAGAACCAAAAAAAGTATTTCATTGTTAATATTAAATTTAGTTGTATGCACCTTAACACATCTTGCTGGACGAAGAGGCTCAAAACAATTAACAGATGAACGTGTAGGATAATCTAAATACAAAATAGTTATTAATAAGAATAAATTTATTACGATTTTCAATTTACAATTATTTATTGTTAATTTAAAATAGAAATTGCTCGATTGCATGAAATACGGGAATTCTCATTTTGCATGTTACTAAGACACTTAACTTTGCTGTCGTAAAGCATTTATCTCACATACATGTACGTAGAATATACTTAGTCTGGCCATAATACTGTTACAATTAAAAATAAACTAAATATTACATTTGAATTTGGAATCTGTCATTTTTATATGATTGCTCATTGAGTTTACTCATTGTGCATTACACAAAGTAGGTATGGAGTCAAATGCAATTTTTAAAACTCTCCATACGCTTGGTATTAGTAAAATGTTTGTGTACCGGGCTATTAATAGGTGCAATGAGACCTCCTCTGTTTGTGACAGAAAAAGATCTGGCCGTCCACGTAGTGTTCGTACGAAAAAGGTGGTCAAAGCAGCAAGGGAAAGAATTCGAAGAAATCTTGTCCGAAAGCAAAAGATTTTATCTCGGGAGATGAAGATAGCAGCTAGAACCATGTCGCGTATTTTAAAAGATGACTTAGGACTTGCAGCATATAAGAGACGTGTTGATCATTTCTTAACTGATAATTTAAAAGAGAATAGGGTGGTAAAATCGAAACAACTACTGAAGCGATACGCAAAGGGAGGTCATAGAAAATTTTTGTTTGCGGATGAGAAAATTTTTACAATTGTTCAACATTTTAACAAACAAAATAACCGTATTTATGCTCAAAGCTCTAAGGAAGCTTCCCAATTAGCCGACAGAGTGCAACGTGGGCACTATCCGACTTCAGTGATGGTTTGGTGGGGTATTAGCTATGAAGGAGTGACTGAGCCATACTTTTGTGAAAAAGGTATCAAAACATCGACACAAGTGTATCAAGATACCATTCTTGAGAAAGTAGTGAAGCCCCTTAACAACACCATGTTCAATAATCAAGAATGGTCCTTCCAGCAAGACTCGGCGGCAGGTCATAAAGCTCGGTCTACGCAGTCTTGGTTGGAAACGAAAGTTTCAGACTTCATCAGAGCTGAAGACTGGCCGTCGTTTAGTCCCGATCTTAATCCGCTGGATTATGATTTATGGTTAGTTTTAGAGAGTACGGCTTGCTCTAAACGCCATGATAATTTGGAGCCCCTAAAACAATCCGTACGACTGGCAGTGAAAAATTTTCCCATGGAAAGAGTGCGTGCTTCTATTGATAACTGGCCTCAACGTTTAAAGGACTGTATTGCAGCCAATGGAGACCACTTCGCATAAGCTTTTTATACTTTAAATTGTTTTATATTTATATATTAAACTAACACACTGTAAAAGTAATAAATGTTATTTGCAATAGATTTTTTTATTTTTTATTGTAACAGTATTTATGGCCAGACTAAGTATGCAAGTTTGTAAATAATGTATATCTTCTTTTTTTACAAAAAAAATACACATTTTAGAATTTTCCCATTACTTGTTTCTGGCTTTTTGCTGCTTCTCGTACGATTCTGGACCAACAAGAGCTCCATAGGTTTTTATGAGTGACAAAATATGAATATATCTTTATAATGCATGATCGAAACTACGGTACTAATGAAAAACGTGTTTTCCGGCTTCGATATATTCTATTATATTGTCTAAAGAGCTATGAAACATCTGAATTATTTCAAAGCAGAGTTTTGGGGTTCGGGCTCACAATTCAGATTATACTAAATACGAAGAATCTCAATAATTTTATTGCTCTTTTCAATACACTTACAAATATTTCTTTTTTTTTTTTGACCTATAACATACCAAGGCATGATATTAAAAAATATTATGTTAACAATACTTACTGAGTACTTAAATGGATGGAGTAGTCAAATAATTCCAACATAAACGATGTACTAAAAGCAAGATAAACAACGTAATACAATGTGGAATGTCAATATATTTTACTTCATTATCTACATTTGATTTAGAGTTTTCGTGTTATGACTGAAATTAAAAACTTCTTAACAATATACAATAATTTGTAATAACCTGTGATCGGTATAATGTTCCATAGCTTATAAAGTTACCTAAAACGTTTAAATTATTATACTACAAGTTATCCACTGGAGAATCTATCTACAAACACAAAAGACATATTCAATTATGAAATAAATATATTTCAAATCAAATGTATGACATTTGATCTGCTTTCAAACAGCGTACCGATAAAAAATCTTTTAAAACATCTACGTAATATCTATCGAAAATTTAGTTTCTAACAAAAATTTCATTCACTATAATATAAATATAATCATTTAATACGTTTTTACTCATTGCAAGTTATGTGATTAGAGTGAAGGAGATAAATTGCAAAATTTCATAACATAAACAAGTGTTACATGAATGATATAGATTTAATTGTATATCACTGGATTACGTCTATTAAGCAAATTTTACATACATTCTCGCAATTACATTAAAATTAAATAAGCTTTAAAACGGATGTTTTTAATAATTTCGTGTCTTGACGTAAGATTGACTTTTTTTTTGTTTTAAATAACAAAACCATCACTAAGGACCAATTAGTATAGTTATCCTGTTAATATATTAATCATTATGTATTGTAAATTAACCGACTCGATTTGGCGGTGCTATCAGTGGTCTTTGTCATTAGTTTAATTACCATTACATAGATAAGTAGTGTAAGTAAGTCAATGCCTGAAGACAAAAGTCTTTAACCAGTGCATTCTCCCCGCTATGACCTACGGCGCGGAAACCTGGACACTGACGGCAGGGCTGGCCCATAAGTTAAGAGTCGCACAGCGGGCGATGGAGAGAGCTATGCTAGGTATTTCTCTAAGGGACAAAATCCGGAACGAAGAAATTCGACGGAGAACCAAAGTCGACGACATAGCTCTCAAAGTTAGCAGGCTGAAGTGGCAATGGGCCGGTCACATCTGTCGAGCCAGCGACGCCAGGTGGGGGAGGAAAGTCCTCGAATGGAGGCCACGGATGGGTATAAGGAGCGTGGGGCGTCCTCCAACCAGGTGGACTGACGACTTAGTACGCACGGCGGGAAGTCGTTGGATGCGGAAGGCGGAGGACCGCATTATGTGGAAGGCATTGGGGAAGGCCTATGTCCAGCAGTGGGCAGATAAAGGCTGATGATGATGATGATGATGAGATAAGTAGTACATACAGCAATTTTTTTAATACAAAGTTTTTTTGTGATAAATGGGCAGTCCAGCTCACGTAACACTTGGACAATGTATAGGCAATGCAGCCGCCTATCTTGAGGTTGACCCATTTTATTGCATAGACTGGTGAACAAGTTACATATCACAATGTTAATGCCACCACCACCTACCTCGAGATATAAGTTCTAATTGTATAGGGTGACGGCTTTCTCGCTCATAAGACCGGAAGGCATTCTGTTTCCCCGCAAAACTAGGTGGTGCCTACCACAACGTATGTCTTCATTTTTTGAAGTCAATCGTTATCATGAGTTTAGTATTTCATTACAAAAAAATATATCTATCAGCCTGCGGGATTTAAACACTGGCATAGTAGCATCGCTTCGTACGTTTACAGAGACTTCTTTAAGAGATCTCTTAAAGTGTATAGTTTTAAAAGAAGTTCTTCTCTTTAACTGCTACTACTACATGTTTTTATTTAATACTTAGATGAGCGGAAGAGCTCACAGCCGGCCTGGTGTTATTTGGTGACCAGAGAGTTATAGATATTAACACTAATCATACCAACTCTTACTGGTACCTATTTCTACCATAGCGGGTAGAAAACGATTTAAATGTTTCACGTGCATGATAATTACTCAGCCTCATTACAAAAAACATAAACGTTTATTATAAATATTATCGTCATTTATTTATTTCTTTATAATTAACGTCTTAATTCTCTTATTAGGATTTGTTTTGGGTTGGATATGTTTTGGTTGTACATGGTTTAAACATAAACCGATAGGTTGGTTTAAAAGAAATGTAAAATAAAACTGTCAATAGTACAAAATTAATATTGTTTTTATATACATATATTGCGTATTCGAATAAAATGCAATATTTGCAACAAAGTCTGAAAACATTATTAATTAAGGCTTCTCATGATTTTAAAGGCATTTAAATAAACTATAATATGAGATATTATCAATTAAGGTATAACACAGACTAACTACACTAAGACCTGAAATCCACGGAAAAGTCACAGACTGAAAAGGTTTCTGTTGACAACACAAACTAGACAAAACTTAATTCATTCTGTTACTAAATTCCTATAAAAATCAAAGTAAACATTTCTAATATTTTTTTGATAAAATAAATATTATATTTTAATGAAATACACGATAATAGCTTTCACAATGGCAACAAATTATTTTTGAATATTTGTTACTATTCAAAACCAAACTTAAATATAGAATTGTTTATGGTTTAACAGTTTCAAGTTTAATTTCTGTGCTGCTGCAAATGTAACATATAATAAAGTTGATCTAAATTTATTTAGCTATCTATAAATCTATTATAGCTACTTAAACTTCAGTTTTAGCACGGTTTTGTAATAATATTTATTAGGCTTGGTGAACCAGTTTCAAGACTATTTCACTAAACAATTTTCAAAACTGCACGTGTCTCGTTTTTTGGAATGAGGCTGCCTATGCTAAGATAAGTCAAGACACTAATCTGCAATATTCTTATTCACTCAAGCTTGTAAATCAAGTAGAAATACAAAATATTTAATTTTATTAATATGAAGTTATTGTGATTGTACAGATTAAAATTCATCCTATTGCATGTTTTGGGTTCTCTTTTCAACTTTTTTTAAAAAGTAATTTGGAGATTTAAGTCTTGCGCAAAATATTATCGATATTATCGACCAGTCCGAGGTGCGAACACAGTTGAAGTGATTGAATGTAAGGAAGGTTGTAAACTCTATTTTGGACATCCGGAACATTTAAAAAATGTATTTGAGCGCCTACAAGAGTATGGACTGCTTATAAACGAAGCTAAATGCTCTTTTGGAAAAGTTCAGATAACCTAGGGTATAATATCTCGGCACAAGGTATTCACCAACAGTTTAGAGAGTAAAAGCTATACAAAAAGAATACACCCCGCCAAAAGCTGTAAGCGGTTTGCAAAGGTTCCTCGGTATGCTTAATTTTTATAGACGCTTCATTCCGCAAGCTGCCAATGATCAAGCATCATTACATGAAGCTATAGCTGGATCGAACAAAAAGGATCCTCAACAAATAACATGGACACCATATCACGCTCGACTTTGTTGGTCCAGCCAGCTTTAAATTCACCGCTCACCCGACCGATGCTTCTAACACGGCCTTGGGTGCGGTTTTGCAACAAAGAATTTCTGGTGAGCGGCAACCTTTGGAATTCATCTCAAAGAAATTGAACAAGACACAAGAGGATGTACAGCGCCCACGACCGTGAGTTGTTAGCAATGTACAAAAGCATAAAACACTATAGGTATACGTTAGAGGGTCGACACTTCACTATAATCACAAACCTCTTGTCTATGCATTTGTACAGAGAGAGAGATAATGCTCACCTAGGCAGCACAATCAGATGGATATCATATCGCAGTTTTCTACGGATATCAGACACATTTCCGGTAAAGAGAATGTGGCCGCAGATACGCTGTCACGGATAGACAATATCTTCGGTTCCACCAAGCAGCGAAGAGATAGCAAGAGAACAGAGTAAAGATGGGGAGCTGAAAGAGCTCTTGACTAGTAGGAAATCATCCCTGAAAATACAACGTATAGCTATCCCTGGTTCGCATTTAGAAGTATACTGCGACGTATCTGAGCCTAAACCTCGTTCATAGGTACCTCTGAGCCTGCGTCAACTTTTTAATGCTGTTAATAAGCACAGACACCCGGGTGCGAAGTCTACAAAAAAAATTCACAGACAGTTCACATCCGCGCTTTTCAAATAATTCACCGATTTTTGTGGAGCACAGATAGGCCCCACCACCGCGTACCATCCAGCAGCAAATGGTGTGATTCAATGACTGCACCGGACACTAAAAGCATCAATTATGGCTCATGGTGAACGAAGATGGACAGATGTTCCCCCTACGATACTTTTGGGCTAGAGGACCAGCTGGAAACGTGACTTGCGAACCTCTCAGGTTACCCAGGTAATTTTTCCATCAATCAAACAAACACAAAGAAGCGCCTGAATTTCTCAGAGCTTGAAGACGGGATCCAACTCATAGCACAACCTATAAAAAGACACGGTGGGAAGTCGATATTCGTGCATGAAGACCTAAAAACAACGTCCTACATATTCCTTCGCAAGGATGCACTGAGTGGTGCACTGGAGCCACCCTACACCAGTCCACATAGCGTAATATCAAGAACTGACAAAACCGTCATAATAGACTTACCTAGAGAAGCCGTTAGTGTTGACAGAGTGAAGCTAGCCCATTGGGAAGCGGATAGGCAAGAAGCAACAACTAGTCGCATGGCGAACGACAGTACCCAAACAGAGGCCAGATTTACGAGATCGGGCCGTCGAGTTAATTTCCCTCCTTATTTTCAGGCAAGCCTAGACTCGTATTCTCCTAGGGGAACGGATCGTCGGTCTACCGAGCAATACCAACCGCTCGGTGGAAGATCTTCCCTGCGTCATTAAAACGTTCCACACTGATAACGCAAAAAAAAAAAATGGCACGACCTCCGGTCTCGGAGGGGAGTGTGTGGCGCATCACTATTCAATGCATGCGCCCATCACTACGCGACCGCGAGACGAGGTAGCGCGCGGGAGGACAGGAACAAACTCAGGCGCCGGCAGTCAACGTGATGATACCATAGTCCCTAGTGATGGTTTTTTCGACACAAATTTAACAAAAACTTTACCGCTTTTTACAGCTTTCATTTTAATTGAAATGTTTGTTATTTCGCTTGATTTATTCTAGAATTTGCAACTTTTGTGATAATCCAGAGATATTTATTTACCTTTCTTGTATTACGTTTTTATTTATGTAAAACATGCAATGAGAAAATTCGTCAAATTGTGTAGATAATTTTCATGGTTTTTAGTCGATTTTCTTATATATTAAAATATTACCGATTTATGTTAATCTAATCTCTACCGTCCTAGCCGTCATTAGTAGGTCATTCATTACATTCTATATAAAACAAATGTTGGAAGGTAGAAGTCATCTTAGAACGCTGTATAAATAGTCTTACACTTGTAAAGAGAGTTCTTTTAGTTTAGGAGCTTAGATATATACTTATGATACACGTAAATTAAAATGCAGTCCACTAATAAAGGCTCAAATACACAAGCACAAAAATCTATATTGGTACAACAGTTTCAAACGTGTATATCTATTCACAGCACTTGACCACTCGCTCATCGACCGTCTAAATAAACGCACTACACGACCACATAACAACTCAGAGTTTCATATTCACTTCATCGATTGCATTATTAATATTTATAAGATTATCTATTATATTTACAAAAAAATAAAACGTCCACTGAACTACATTAAAGTGATTCTTCAAAAGCCGCCATCATATCACTTTGCATATTCATGTCTATCTGTCCTGCCATCTGAAAAATAATTTTAAATTCATAATTTTGCGGTTTTTTTTTTCTTTCATAATAACATCAGTCGGCTTCACTAGCCGTCCGACATTTTTGGCGTTTAAAGTTTTTATTTTAGAAAAGAAACGACACTAGACTATATCAAACTTTTTTTTTTCCTACCTAAGCTGAGAGTCTTGAGAGGCTATTTCAGCGTAACGTTAACAAGTAAGTGAGCTTGACGACGTTGCTAACACGAACCCTAGCAAGAGCCGTGCTTCGCTGAATCTACCACCGGATCGGAAACGCAACCACTGAGAAGGTCCGGCGAGAAACTCAGTGGGCTGTGTCTGAGGGTTAATATACTCGTCGAGGGTTTGACGAGAACGATGACCGGTGCTTGGAGTACCTAAAAGCACCGTTAGTGGTTCGGGAGGATCCGAAATGAATGTCGAGCAAATTTTGAAATTTAAGTGAGAAATAGGAAAGTTTAAAACACGAATGGCTACTCACCGCCTCTCGTCGACGTCGTTCCTGTTCTCTTAGACGTAATCGTTCTCTCTCGGAGGCGGCGGGCTTGTCTGCGCTCGCGGCGGCCGCGGCGGCGGCGGCTGCAGCGGCGGCGGCGGCGGCCGGCGGGGACGCGCGCGCCACGGGCGACCCGCTCGGCGGGGAAACCTCAGCGCTCTCCACTTTACCACCCGATCTACTCACTTGACCAACCCTAAACAGGTACAGTTTGACAGATTGAAAAACAAACCCTTTTAAGACCTTTTTCACTTCGTATCGACCACGGTCGCGAGAAATCGAACGCAAACCAACATAAATACTGATTTTTCAAACTTAACTTTTGTAACTTTGTTTTAAATATGTAAGTAAGAAACCGCGCTAAGGTAAATTGCGATAGATTATACCATGATTTGACGTCAATTTTAAATTTAAACTTTATTAACTGAGCGAAATAAAACAATGTTTAATAGAAATTATACAAAACCGTATTCTATTATTTGACGATATACGCTCTTTGATTCATTCGCAGATTACAGTTAATGTAATCCAACTGTTAATAAGACGAATAATTTATTATAAATAAAAGTAGTAGTAGTTAGGCCACGTTCAGGGAAATCTCCAGGCTGTAGTTACAATGTTTGAGTACTTTTGAAATGCCCCTATCGCGCGATCTTATAGATTAAAATCCCACATTAAACAATCATTGAATCATCACGCTATTGCAATGCCATGTTTTTCACATTTTATTAGTAACTATGGTAACCTTTGTACTCCTTTTTACGAAAATGCGCGGACGGAGGATTGTGAAATTTCCTACACTTATAGAGAATATAGAGAAGTGCAGAATGGTAGTATTACATTAAATCAATAAAAATACACACACTACCACGTATGTGATACACGCACACATATATTATTATATATTCTAGTTTATTGTTAAGTATGCGGTCAAATTGAGAATAGATAATAATGTTTGTCTTTAATAATATTTAATTTTGTGTATAGTGTAGTCTTGGCGAAATCTGTGAATAAAGAAGTTTATTAAATAGTCTTTGACAATAGAATCGAAATAATGTTCAAACTTATAATTTCAATTAATTATAGTCGAACTTCGACTACTGGGGGACCGCTAGTTACAATTATTCTGTAATCAATCTTAAATCATCATACTTACGAAGCGATGTGTGAAAATTTTTAAGTAAAACAAGTGTCCTCCTACCTTGATTTTTCTTCATCTGGGTGTCGCCTCTCCGTTTCTTGTCTTTGTCTTTCTCTTTCCGCTTGTTCTTTTTTCCTTAATTCCTGTTGTTCTATTAAAGCTCGTTGCCGATCAATTTTTTCCTTTGCTTGTTTTTTGAACGCCTAAAAATGTATATCGTATTTGTGTTACATTTACTGCAAGTCTTATTATCCCTTTTAGATCATTCAAATGTTTCCTTATTGCAATAGTTAAAATTGAATTAAAGGCACATCAAACCATCAAGTTAATCTTACCTGAAAACTATCCATAACCGGTTTCTGCTTAATTTGATTGTTGGTTACCATGTTTGGTACACTTTGAGGACTGCCAGCCTGAGCCAAAGACGACCAAGAACTTGCGTTCTTTAAATTTTGCTCTTGTTTCAATTTAAATGCTTGAGCAAAATTTGAATTTTTTGTGTCTTCCATTTTTTTGTCTATTTCATATTTAGCTCGATCAGGCAAATTGTTGACCATCGCAAGCGGAACTCCCATGAGATCTTCAATAGGTTTGGGGGTGAGTAAAGGTTTACTGTCCTCTTTCTTTACTGCAGGCGTTATAGGGCTAGGGGCACTAGACATATTGTGATGAGACTGTGAAATAATCGGCAAGGGTGTCGATGAGATGGGATCAAATATCGACGATACCGTGGTCACATTACTCAAATTGGGTATGTTAGGATTTATGTCGGGTCGTATGATATCGCGGTCTTGCGACGCGTTTTTTTCAACGAAACCGTTGTGCGCGGGTAGATAAATATCAGTTTTCATCTGTTCTGGTACCCGGGCGACTTCAGTTATGCCACTGAGCTGCGCCATAAGAGTCTGATGCGCCGCATCCGGAATCGTCTGCGGTTTCGGAAGAGCAAAGTCGTCTTCGAGACGAATCGATGAATCCGAGACGCTCACGTTTACGTCCATGGGTACATCGGCTTTTAAGCTTCGTTCCAAACTGGCCAGGGAGCGTTCAATAGGATCTATGTAATGTGAGGTATCCATCTTGTCAAGACCGTTTCTCGGGTCCGGTTTGGGGTCGGGCGGCGCAGCGGCGGGAAGCGGCACGGCGTCGGGCGGCGTGGCGGCGGGTAACGGCACGGAGACGGCGGGCGGGGCGGCGACGGGTTCCGGAGCCGGCTTCGCATCCGGCGGCGCGGGCCCACCGCCATCAGAGGCGGCGTTCGACACACTCGTCGGTACCGTCGCAGAATTTGCAGCAGCCGGTGCTATTATCTTCTAAAATTATTCATAAATTGGTGTTACGAAGAAAATCGAACTGAAAATGAAACGAGATCTGGAAAGATAGTTACGTTTTGCGGCGGTTGTTGCACAGGTGGCTTCTTTGCTTTCTTTTTGGGTGTCCTGCTGGGACCGGTGCCTGAAACGAAGTTAGTGAACGAATGGTAGTCAAGATGAATGTCCACGAATTGAACCAATCCACTTTTCACATTTTCTGCATTCAAAACAAGATAACAAAGAAAAACTTCGTTTTATATGTTCTTGAGAAGGAGAAGCTCGACTTGTAAGTTTTGTAATAATTGCTTGGTTTTATGTTGCGGGTTTAAAGAGGGATATGTTCAGATCTCAAGGTTGGCTAAATGAAATTCATTTTAAGTCTCAAGATTTACTTAAAACTGCTCTATATTGAAATATATACAAAGTTTTATCGACTCACTCTTAATTCTAATACATCATAAGTCATGAGTTGATCAAATCAATCCTACATAGACACGCACGGTGTTTTTATATGCACATAATGCAACTATCTATATTTAACTTACTAAGTAAATTATGCGCTCGAACGGCTAATTGCACCTTGTATTAATTTAGTTAATTCTTTAAACTGTCAAGTGCCCATTTTTTTCATTCAAATACCACGTTTTATAATAATTTCACAGTGGTTTACACCCAAATTCTATAACAATGTTTTCAATGCCAAGTACAAATCATTTACAAAAACAAAATAAAAAACAGATGGCGTATGCAAATTTGACAAAAAATTTCGATACATGGAAATTAGCATTTATATATATTGAATCATTTTGTTCTCATCTCATTCGACCCCTCTGGGAAGTAAGGAACTCTAATATAATATACGCTCTCTATTAACTAACTTACACTTAAATAAGATCTATTGAAGCAACCTGTAATTGTACTTATAAAAACAAATTATCAAATATCAGAAGTGGTATGCATTTACATAAAAAAGAGTCTTTAACAATAAATAATTTTTAATATTAAAATTTGATTTCTAAAAAACGTACACAATAAAATTTAATTAAAAGCAGAATTAAAACTTTAAAAAACATGACGAATGCTCAGTCACTGAATAAATAATAATAATTTACATCACAAAGCATCTGTGATGGATAACTTAGGACAGTTCATTCTCAATTTTCTATGCAAGTGGAGGCACAAAACATATATTTATGATGTGTTGAATGCACAAGTTTTTCCTGTACTCATTCACGGAACCATTAAAATTTCAATACCTAATCTTAATGTGATGTTTTCAAAGTATTTACAATCAGATTATTTATCTAAAATTTAAAACACCTTTATAAAATTAATTAGGCCATACCAAAGAGCAATTTTTCTGTGTGTATGTTTTTATCATAAAAATTTCCAAGTTTTTAAATATAAACAAACTCAGTTCTTTTAAGGTAGTTTACAATGAATATCAATGTAATAAGTAAAAAAAAATCATTGCACACTGGCTTAACAATTTTAAGCCATCTACTATGAATTATAAGGGTGAACTATCAGAACAATTTTGTAAGAGTAGTTAAAATAACATTAAGCAGTATTAAATTGACGTACAACGTATGTAAACATGATTATTGCTATTACAGTTTCTGATTAAATATTATTTTTTATGACAGAAAAGACAGTGTGCATTGTTTCATTTGATTTTTACTTGGTATCATTTGAGTTTTTAAAAATCTTTGTTTTGTAGATACTATCAGGAACATACGAGGTACTGTCAGACACAGTTCTAACTTTAAAACCGCATGAAATAAAATCTTTGCACTGCAAATGTATGTTTAATTAATTATTTGTCATTAATAACTTTTACAGTACAAAAAATACATTTTTATCGCTTTATAAAAAAAATACTTTTATTCTCAAATTATGTTTTGATAATTAATTACACTGAAATTTTCATGCATTTTAATTACAAAAAAAGATTTAATTCTTCCAACAGATTCGTTGTATTAAAATAAATAAGATTAAAATTACAGTGCTTTCGGATAAATAAAATACAACTAAACCTATATAAAATTGTTCTTCAATAAGTTTGCAAACAATGTGTGAAGGAGGGAGCCAGCTTTAGATATTTTCTATACGTTAAGTACAAACAGGATCACACGTCACATATTTTTAGGAGCAAGCATCGAAATATTTCAAGCATTTAAACCGATAAAAACATACCTTTTCATTAACACATTTTTAACTACAACATGTCACAGAGTATTTTATTACATCCTTGTTGTAAGAACTAGAGAGGTGAGCGGTTGGTTAGATGTTTGCTTGCTAAATAGGTATCCGTCCTTACACAATTGTTTGCATAACTGGGTCGGTTAGGGTCGGCTTAGGGTGTAGTGCGCGTGTGGTGTCGGCGATCCTCTTCGCTACGACGCACGCTACGACGCATGCTACGACGGACGCTACGACGCACGCGGCGACGCACTGGACGTTTGTCGGGTGCTCGTTAAACCTACCCGCGCGAACCGTTCCATAATCAAATATTTAACTAATTTATTAAACTTCACACTCGAAAGCAAATTAGTAAGTACCCTGAGATCTGAACTTTTCAATCATTACTAATAACAGTAGGACTGAAATTTTAAGGATGCAAATGAAAAAAAAATCTCAGTTGAGGACATGATATAGTTAAAAACATTAATGTGAAAAGGTATCTTCTGTTGGTTCATGGAAGCAAACCAAATAAAAATGTCCTTACCAGCGCTGAATTGAATATCAGCTGCAACACCAAAGCTGGCTTCTCCTCCTCATTAACAACTGTTTTATGCCTTTACCAACATTTTATGTGTTATATATTTTGACTTGATCATTAATATGAATTAATTGATTAAATATGAAACGTATGTAGTATCTCTTCCAATATCACAGTAATAAAATATTTTACTAAATTAACTCCATCAGTCACTCATGCTCACAACACAAATCGTAAAAAAATGGATATCTACATGAAGTAAACTTTCTTTTTCCTATTTCAATCATTTCTCAGACGTAACATTCTTGTCTTTAGCACCTTCTTTAAGACTCTTCATTTCTATTGTGCTTCGAAATATGCCCTCAAGTTAAATAAATATTGGGCTGGCGCTGGTATGTTTAGATGCAATAAAAATATTATTTACGACTGAATAGATTTAAAACTTATCTAAGAGTCTTTGTAATGAAATACATTATTTGTTCTTTGATGATTATGACAAGCAAAGTTGATATTTTACTACACTGTATTCATTCAGAACCAATATATCATAATAATCATTTGACACTCAGTCTGTTTTAACACCCATGTGACAATTTCAGACTAGAATAAACATAACTGAATTAATGATAGTCAATGAAAAATGCATCCTCTGTTGTTTCAAAGAAACTCATAAAATTGTCCATTAAAATACTGGCAAAGGTAAAAATTTAACATCAGTTTCATATTATTAGAATGTCTTATTAGACATTATCATGTACACACAGGTATTTCAAGCTTTTTAATGGTTATACATATCAAATTTATGTTCTTAATTTAAATGCCATTATCAAAAAATAAAAAAAAAATACTAAAATAATTTACACTGAATGGTACAGTACAGTACAGTACCGGAGGTATCTGTACAGCTTCAACTGAGCGCGCGATATCCTACTTATTAAGAGAAGGTTCTTACTCATTGTATAAAACACTGTACAGCCAAGAGTAATCTCGTATTGACAAGGACAATCGCGCGCTAATTCCGTAAGCTGTTTTTTAGTGTGAATGTGGCGCGACGCTTAGACGTAACATGTCTAACCTGCTTCACTGTCACTGCTGTCCGAGGAGCTGGTGTCGGTGCTCGAAGACGAGTTGGACGAGTCTGACGAACTCGAAGACGACGACATACCACCACCCAAAGTTTCTTTACAACCTTCTGTAACAATAACCCATTAAAGATTTCTTATTTCGTCAGCACTGTCAGTTGTTTATCGTAAGTGCAAGGTAAAAATCAAAATGGCGTTATTCCCAAACCCACCCACCATTAAACCCCCTGGAATAATGGTACAGCAAGCAGTGTGATGTGAATGCAACAGTTGTAAAGAGCAAAGTGTGCAGAGTTGAAGAACTTAATATAATAACATTTTGTACTGTCTTCGAAAATATACCACTTGCTAGTGACGCCACCCTATTTGGTCGCTTTTCTACAGATACTTTATTATACAGCGTGCTCCTTATCTTATACCTTCTATAATTATGCATTATCTAAAACTTAGTAGTAGTAATAGTAGTAATAACAGATGACATTGTGTTTCCTGTGCATAGTGTAGGCTCTGTTACTCTTACAAAGCTCAGAATACTTGCCTTTTTTCTGTTGTTGCTTCTTATGCGTTCCTAACTGTCCGGACACATCCTGAAGTCGTTTTTCAAGTTCTTGTTTCTTTTCCGCCATTTGTTCATCTTTAGATTTCCCTGATACTTTACGATCTAAAAGTAAAAAAATAATTAGGAGTACGGAAACGCATTTATGTAAGTAGTTAATATTTACCAATGCACTTACGAGTCTTTTTTCTCAGACATGAGGCAACATAGCTTTCCAATTCTCTGAGTGTGGAAGGTTTCAAAGTTTCAAAATCTATTTCTATTTCGTCCGGATTAGAATCTCGCAGCGACGGCTCTCTATTCTGTATGATATGCACCACTTTTCCCAGTTTATCACCTATAAAAAATGAACATTACAACAAACGAAATTGTGTTTAATCTAGATACAATATAAAATAGAGAAACACGCATACCTGGTAACTTATTGATGTCCAGCGAGAGCTGTCTTTTTTCATCATAGGACATGGGCTTAGCGAGGTCCTCGTCGTCGGAGTCGTTGTGCGGGGGTGGATGTGGCGCGGGCGCGACAGCGGGCGTGGAGGAGCTCTTTTTCTTGGCGGGCGCGGCAGGGGCACGCGCCGCCTTGCCGGCCGCACCGCCGGAGGTAGCGCCGGCACCCAGTCCTCGCTTGCCACCCTGTTTGCGCACGCCACCGCCGGTCGCCGCAGTATGAGAAACTGTTTGAACACATTGAAATAAATATATGAATACAGCGGGAATACTTCTTGAATCACGCCTTTAAAAGCGACATCACTTCTCAATAATTCCAGCGTACATTAAAATATTTCCTCACTTGTATTCTATTATTCATAAACTACTAGAAGAATGACATTCCTTCCATAATATAGTTATATCTTATAAAATATGAAACCTGCAAAAATCATATAAAAAACTTCTGAGATTAATTATCTCACCTGTGTTGTCTGCAATATTGTTAGTCTTGGCCGTATACGCCGGAGTGGGTGGAACCTTAGGCGTGACTCCAGTAGTTATTTGTTTCTTCTGTTTCTCCTTCATTTTTTTCTTTGCTTTCTTTTTGTTACTAGACTCCTCGACGAGTTTCCTCATTTTCTCTTGCAATGCCAGAAGTTCTTTTTCGAGCATCTTAACCTTATTGTTTCTTTCTTCTTCTGAATCATCTGATTCTGAATCGGACTCTGATCCAGATTCTGAACTTGATGCAGAGCTTCCTTTTTCTGCATGTGCCGCAACATGAACAGGCTCATCAGGAATCTTTGCATATCTATTACAATAATCATAGAATATAACAACTATAAAAAATGTTTTTTTTTAATTAATTATATTAAAAAATATATAATCCCTGCTTACCTCATTTCAAAAACGTCTTGTAATTTACGAGCCATCGCAACAACATCATGGTCTGGCGGGTTGTACTTGTAACAGTTTGTAAATATAAGACGAACATCTGCAGCAAACTCTGCAGCTGACTTGTAAGCTCTTCCATCCATCTTATTTTTTACTGTACCGAGATCCATAGGCTTCTTGATGATATCAAAATAGTCATGTAACCCAAGTAATTCAGCATCAACAGGTTTATAAAATGGCCAGGCATAGCCCTGTCAGAAAAATGTTTTTTTTAGTTTTCTTTCCATAATTTTATGATTTATAACTAAAAGACATCAACTTACAGAGTGTTTCTTAGAGAAAAGTTCTTTAAGAATTTCATTACAGCTTTTGAGTGCATCAGACAATTTCTCTTTTCCTTTAGCAAGTTGCGGAGTCAAAACTGAATGATGCGAAGTTCCAGCGCCTCCGACACCAGGTGAAAGACCACCCATTTTGAAATTTTCGTCACCAACTCTATTAGCCTATAGTCGTTAATAAATTGTGGTTAACAGGATAAATTTTGGTGTGATTACTTCAGTCGCAGAGACACATGATATCAGTTATGTTTCTATAAATTCGTTTACCTTTTTTTGACGTCCACTTTCTCTTCTTGTAGATATTTTTGCAGGTTTGGGTCCACTTTGTTGATCTATTGTCGGAGTGGTATAACCTCCTTCAAATGAACTACCCATAGGAGTAGTCGTGTCAGCTTTTCTTTTGACACCTTTTTTGACCTATGAAAGACAATTAAATAACACACATTATTACTCTGCCGACATTGACCAGCCGCAATACGAAATACACAATTGTAGTGCGAAGTTTTATTTCCGTATAAAATTACTATAATATTACACAACAAACTTCGGACATGATGACATATCGCTTGCTAAACTTATTAAAATTATGTCCGATTACAGTGACTGACAATATTCTTAATAGCTGTGCATGTTATGTGACTCTTCCTCTGTTCGACGTTTGATGCATGCATGGTACTGGCTAGTTTTCTCAGTGACAAAACAAAAGTTCAAAGCATTGATATTTGATCAAGTGATGTTTTTAATATGTTCAAGTTCATTGTTTTCTGGGTTTAAATTTGCCAGTTTACATACATGTTAAAAAATTGGTGATAGCAACAATGTGATGAAAGTATTAACATGGATTAAGAACGAATGAAGTATAATATTTCCACCTAGCATCTATTTATTAAAACATACATTTTTTTATCAAATAAATCATATTACCTACGTATTTTAGCCAAATTTAAAGGAATGTAAACAAGTGCGTATAAAACAAAATATCACGCATATTATGATAGTTGAGTTTTTTAATTTGGCTTTAGCTTATTAGTCAAAAAAGATTATAAAATAACTAAAATTACCAAAATTATGAAATACATAGAGAAAAATTGCAAGTTTTTTTAGTATTTAGTTTCTTATATTACTCATATTTTAATAATTGTATTGGGAAAGCTAGAACGCAGTACTTAGTGTTGCCACGCTCCATCGTTTGTTTTCCTCTCAATTTGTCCACGAAAGTGTTTTTTAAGTATTTTTGGTAAATGTATTTTGTTATAAATTTTTTGCTGACTAAGAATGGAGGATTAAGACTTCTTTGAAATTTATGCTTGGGTAAATGTTCCATATTATTATTATTATTAATATCGAATACTACCTTCGCGGGTTGTGTCTGCGATAATGCGACGGTGGGGATCGACGAAACCGGAGTCGCCGGGGTTGGCGTTACATGAAAACTAGAAGGTTGGGACGCCACCTGAATGAAATAATTTAAAATAATATAAATTCAACATAATAAAAGTCGCGTATAGTTTATAACAGCGTTTCCAAAACAGTGTCGCCACACATTGGTTTCTCGAATGCCTTTACCACTGTGTCTTGAGATTTAGGAATACAATATTTTTATCTTAGGTGACCCGAGACAGTGAGGTAAATTCCTAGATGTTAACTGTAAAACTTATTTTAATAGATTAATGCTGTTTATCTAAAATTATCCACTATAAAAAAAAATCAAGTAAGTATGTTAATGTGTCGCGAATTTGTAAGGAGTATGTTAATGCATCGCCGCGTGAAAAAAATTTAAGAGCGACTATCAGAGGGTTAAAAAACTACAATAAACGTACTTGTTGTGGAAGTCCAGTATGCGTGGCAGGCGGCGTAGGCGGCGGTGCGACAAGCGTGGGCGCGGTGGTGGTGTTGGTGGAACCGACGAGCGCGGAGTGTGGCGGCGGCGGCTTCACCGCGACCCGCGCGCCGCCTGTGGCCGCCGCCACTGCCACGCCGCCACCGCCGCCACCGCCACCGCCGCCGCCGGCACTTCCACCAGTTCCCCGCTTTTTTGCTACGCCTTTTCCGGCCTTCGAGGGTGCTTCGATTTCTTTCTCTTCTTTGTCCATTTGTGCTATCTACAAGTGAAACAAACCTTTAATGATGTATAATATTTTATCTCTACAGTTGATCTTGTGAAATATTACTCTGTAGACTTACCCGGTTCAAGAAGAGCTTCTCCAAAGTTTGAGCCATCACAACAACATCCTCGCCAGGTTTGTTGTAAACGTAACAATTAGTGAACATCGTGTTGAAGTCTTGGATGCATTCTTGGGCGGAATAATAGTAGTTGGATTCTAACCGCTTTTTTATGGTTCCGAGATCCATTGGTTTCTTTATAATTTTGTGGTAATCCTATGTAAAGATAATAATTTTAAAATTGTGATATTTTTTTCAGTATTTACTTTAGACCATCGTTGTATGTAATACGTGATTATCACTTACAGGTAGGTTTAACTTTTTTGCATCTACTGGTTGGTGGAAAGGCCACGCAAATTGGTGTTTCCATACTGCTTTCATTACATTTTTCTGCAGAAATTGGAGCTGATTCGTTATGCGGCCTTGTCTTCGGGGGGTATCCTCCGGTGGCGTACCATTAACAGGCTCCGCCGCCGGCTGTACAAGTAAACATACAAAGAAATTAGATACTAAAAAAACAGTACTAAGAGTTCAAATTTTAACAATTTATTCACCGTGCTTGTTGTTGCCAAGGGATCAACCGCCTGCTGCATTGTGCTGGAGTCAGCAATCTACCTGCCAAAGTGACTCTATAACTGTAGTATTTGTAATCAAATAAATAACCAATTATAGTAATCTCCCTTACAACACGGTACTCTTAAAACGCATATTCAAATTACGTGATTTCAGTCCCTCGTATAACACGAGTATTCCACACATAACGCGGGGATTTCACACGTTATACATATTTCTGTACTGTGAATTTGTAATTATTTGCACAATTCATAATTAATTTCGGGTACATTGCACATTGTGTCAATTGTGTTCTTAAAAATTTAATTTATTAAATTTGTGTTCCTAGTTTTTTTTTTTTGTTGTAAAAACATTGGTTGTAAAGTACATTAGTACATAACGCGTTACATGGGTCATACAAGCGCGTTATGCGAGAATACTCCTACAACGCGTTTCCTATAATGCGGAACCAATCTACCGAGTTATAGGCGGGATTACCGTATTTCAGTAAACTGTAAACCTCACCTCAATTGTAACGAGAGGTTCATCCAATTTCTGACTCAGTGGCATCAGCTAAACCCTCTTATTATACTAAACTGTTCTATCATAATATAAATTAGTTTTGGTGCTTTTGCACCTAAAAGTACGTCGCTCCACTCATGGATAACTTATAACCCTACCTGAAATAAAAACAAATTAAAGTTAAAGTTCCAGTTTAATGTTTTTTTGCCATATAAAAGTGAATATTATAATAAATATTATTTTACAGTAACATAACCTAGCACTAGCCAAACAAAAACAAACAACCTAATGACATGATCATGACTTTATAACATTTTCTTCGTTTTTATTAAGTCTCAGAAATATTTAAGAGCGCTTTTACCGTTTAATTTACCAACACCTGGAGACCCTTTTATTATGAAACCAATATATGCAATATAATGAAAAATTAGAAATATTTATTAAAGAATAGACAATATTCAAATGCCGATGAATAACAACTTAGTCGTCGTCATATTTTGACGACCACACGTGACGATTTCTAGTACGAGACGACGATTTCTGTAAAGTATTCAAAATGTCTGCAATAATATGACAGTTAAAAGAACGAGGTATTAAACCGTAAATGTAGTTTTAATTGTCTAAGACTTTCGAAGACCAAAGAAAAATCTATGTAGCAGAATATTCAAATATTGACTAATCACACCAAAATCAAAGTAAAATAAGTTTTAATTCTGAGCCTGTGACTACCAATGCACATAAACAGGATCAATGCAAAGTCCAAGACCAAATAAGGCTCTAAAGAGTCCTCAACGCTAGGCAGCGACTTAGTTGTGCGTTATTAATGTCTATGAGCGTGCGGCAATTACTACTCGCCATCAGAGGAACCGTATTCTAGTGTCTTGACAGGCAGTAAAAAGTACGGCATATTTCAAGAATGTAATCTGTTTATATTTACAAATTTGTCTTCTTTTAGTAGCTTAGATTAGTTTATGAGATCATGGCCCATATGATATTAAATGGTTACCGAAGCCCACAGGCAACACAATGTGAACGCCGTCACCTAGGTTGTGACACAAGATATGTATGTAGGCTTCCTTGTATTGTATAACGGCTGTTACACCCTTCAAACCGAAATTTTCTTTTTAATATTTCTATTTCAGCTTACCTTGCATATAACTGCAGGGTAGTAGCTGTATCTTTCGGAGCGCCTGACACTCTTAGGTAGTAAATCTGCAAATAAAGTTAACAAATACAGATTAATTTCATTGTATCTTTTATCTTATTTGGTTTTCTCTATTTTTCTTCATTATATTATCTATTAAAAATACTCAATCTAAGCAGCACTAAATTAGGTTCACTAGAGCTTTTATATTAATCGTTACTGGAGAAAGGCACAAAGATGATGATTATCAAAACATGCGATAAACCGAATTTTCAAGAGATTTTGGCAGAGCGAACCATATATGAGATCCCCAGTTAAAGGATGTAAGTGGAAAACTGTGGTCATGACTTATCTGAGGTAAGAACGTAGTTCTAAAAAGTTAGAGGGTTACATTGGACACAACAGCAGAGGAGTAATCCGCCGGGATACATTCACTTTTATTTATTTATGCAGTTGTAGGCAGACGAGCACAAGGCCCCCGTTATGGGAAGTGGTTACCGTGGCTCAATGACGTCAGCAATGCCAGGGCCACAGCCAAGTCGCTGCCTACCAATGGCTTAAATTAATTTTATTTGCACATTCACGAGTGACAATAGCCAGTTACTATCAGTAGTATCGGTTACTATCAGAGAACCGTATGCTCGTATGCCTAAAACGGCGAAAAAGGGTTTTCCTTGCAGCCACATCATTGAACGCTCGGGAGAGAGGTACTCTCAAAGCAAATTTATTAGAATGGTATGGTGGCGGTCAGTAATAAGGAGAGGGGGGGATATGTAAAGGGGCTGCTACGTACGGATCTAGGCACCATTGAGAACGAGTCAATAACAGTGGCACAATATGTATCTGATGTTATGGCAGAAATTGTAGTGCCATTTGCTCTTTTCAGACATGGATTTTTTCTTGTAGATAAAATGCACGCAATTTTAAAATTTTGTTCTTAGTATAAATTAATATTATGGGGTAGCTCGCAACCTTGCCGACCTTTTAGATCATAGAGCATGTGTGTGAGATAAGCTAAAAAGGGTTTAAAAGGTAATCCTAGCCTCGTTAATTTAAGATATCTAAAAACGAATTAACAGGAAGAATGGAATGCAATCTCTTAAGATTTAATTGATAACTTTATTAGCGAAGAAGAATCTAGAAGCTGTTCAAACAGTGAGGGGGTGGGGTATTTTTTACCAGTTACTTAATTTTACATTTCGAATGCATGTTTATTATTGATTTTGTTAGTTTTAATTAATTCGTGATATGTGTAAGTCTTGTATTTTGCAATCAATAAAGTTTGGGTATATTTATACCTCTTGGAATAAAAGCTTATTTTTTCAAGAATATTTTCATCTAAAAAGCAAAATTAATGCCATACTGCACCCATATTGTATACCCAAACTATCCAATAGGTTTAATTGGATGGCAAAAGCCAGTTAAGTATCTATAATTTTTTTCCAATTCCGTGTTTAATACTAAAAAAAACCTGGTTGTTGTGCATCTTTACAAACGCTAGTTTTCTTTATTTTTGCTAGCGCGATTCAGGGTTTTCCTGCCTATAGATAACTCTTTCAATACGAAATGTAAGCGCAGTAATTTCCGATGTACGCCGAAAACTTGCCGGACCGAGACGGAAAAATAGCTAAATGGATCCAATGAAATTAAAAATTACGACGAAAGAAATTTCTTAAGAATGTCTCTTACGAATCTGAAGAGATTGTATACTATAATTTATAGATATATTTGCTTCTTCATGTTTTTATAGATAGTAGTGGTAGTTCTATACACACCGTGAAATATTATTTTAACTACGCCCATTTGTTGAAAATTGTGTGCACCGATCATACATTAATGTATGTGCCAGAAACCTTACCTGAATTGGCAACAAACTACTCTACAAATTTCAACTCAATCAGATAAGCGATGCGTGAGCGAAGGAATAAGAAGATGAGGAAATAGCATCTTATTATGCCTCAGTTCTTCAGATTGCTTCATACCTACACTAAATATTTGTATGGTATGCCTCAATTAAATAAAAAGCTGGCTAGCTGAAAGAGAGACAATAAAAAGCTGGGTGCTAGAAAAGCAACAATTGTCTTGATTAAAGTTACGTGCAGAACCTGCTGGAAATATTTAAGGAAGTGTCTATTGCTATCTACTCGCCCTTACCGCACTTGCCACAACTAAGTAGAATATTCCTAGTTCCTGTTCTTGACTTTATCAGTGTCACACAGGAAAGGTTGTATAAAATGAGCAAATATACATACCATTTAAAAAAAAAATTTTAATTTTTTTTATTAGTATACAGGCATTCTGTGCCTGTTTAAATAAATTTCTGAGTGTTATTCTTATTTTTCTTGGTTTTTTTAACTTCTGTCATATCAAAAATATTTATAAAATACAGATATGTTTTATGCATATTTGCTTTTTAATATAAGTTGATATAAGCAAATTAACGAAATATTTATAATGCATCTCAACAACACTGAAGAGAATGTGAAAATATGCCGTGTTGTTTTGTTTTTCTAAATTAATGATTCTATCATTGAAAATGTGAAATAATGGTGATAATCAACTGCTTTATGTGCAAACTAGCGACCCGCCCTCGCTTCGCTTCGGAAACATTAAAACACACATGAAACCAAAAATAAAAAATAAAAAAATAAATAAAAAAAGTAGCCTATGTTCATCAGGGACAATGTCGGCTTCTAATGGAAAAAGAATTTTTCAAATCGGTCCAATAGTTTCGGAGCCTATTCGAAACAAACAAACAAACAAACAAATCTTTCCTCTTTATAATATTAGTATAGATAGAATAAAATCACAAGATTTTTTATAAAATGAACTAATCGGACAAGTTAGTCAGGGAAAAAAATATATAAAATTTTTAATGGTTACATGAATTATATATTATAAATTTTATGATTATAACCATTTTTTACCATAAAATCGTTTGTTCTATCATACTCATATAAATGGTTATATGATTATCATAGAGCGAAAATATATTTTTTGCAATTTTCAGGCATTCAAAATTTATTAATTACACATGCTTTTAGATTTCCATTACACTAAACACTAGCAGAGCTATTATGTTGTGGATTTAAAGTACATTCAAATACTCTATAGTTAATTTATTATAATTTTCATAAATTAATTAAACAATCATTATATTGTATTATATTGTTTTAATTTATATAAAATATATTTTCCAAATTCATATTATACATTGTTTATAAGATAAATAGAACATTTTATATAGGGCATTATTTGTATGGTTATTAAAATAAACAGAGTTGAATGTTATTTTCTTTTTTGTGTTAACCATAATTATTAGTTACTATATCACTATGTATGATTACAGATATACCTATTTTTTTTGGATTACAAATTACAGCACCCTGTCCTTCCCTGCGCACTTTAGCACGATATCATCAAGTATATTGTTTACACAGCTTCTCCAATTCCACTCTAAATTTTATCAATAGACTAGATAGCGATTAGCTATATGATGCGCTTTGTAAATGTAGCAAACTAGTAGTAGATGCAATAGTGAATCTTCATATTTTAGCTAGAACATTTTTATATTTGTACATTTATTTATTTTTTCCAGTTTTTGACTAAAGATTTCAAGCATGTAAGAACCATAGTTCTGATATTATCATACTACCAATCTTAGTCATAAATAATACAGCTACTTCAAAATAATCTCTACTTTAAAGTTTGTGTCTAATATGGCGACTATTTATAAATAACATTCTCTTACACATATCTATTATGACAGTTTTAGACCATTTTATATAAAATTTAATAATATATAAAATTATCTGGGACAAAATGAATAAATACCAATATTAAATGATAATGTTTTTTGTATGAGAATCATAACAATAGCGGCTTTAGAGATTATGTGGGACCAGCTTTTACTTTTCAATTAACTACTTCAATTTTACTTCCATCAAAGGTCTTTTAACATATTGATATTGATTGATGCCCGATTGATACCCTACTGTACCATACCATGTACAAAAAGTATTCTGCTTCATGAATCATCTGCAAGAGTACCTCTAAACGACAATCATAAGAAATTGAGTTTCTTCACAGAGAAGATTAAGGCTGGACACAACAGTGTTTGCAGACATGTCAAAGTAAGCATCTCACAAGGGTGCAACAATTACTAACATGCTCTTTCAAAACTTAATTGGGTACAACTGCATAGGATGCCAAGTGTCCTTGATTACACATTCAACATGAAGAATTTTATTTGACCTCCTGGAGGAGCTGGGGAGCAGGTGGAAAATACTGTATCCTATTATAAAGTATAATCCAAAAATAATCCCACAATTCAATTTTCATCTGCAGACTTAAAAGAAGACAAAATAGCATGAATATTAAACTCCTTTCAGATATAAAATAATTAAAATCTTCTCTTTAATTCATGGTTGTCAACTTGTAATTTAATTTCAAATAGCGTAGGTTTGTAAAGAGTCTCTATTAAATAAATGTTCAATAAAGTTAATGATAGATTTTTCTTTTGATTATTTATACCTTTAAATACATCATTCATAGTACTATTTATTAATTTTAAAACAGGGACATAAATAAAATGCCATTTTAGCTTTTCCTATTTATTAAATGAACTGCTATTATGCTGATAAAAAGAAATATTAAAACCTTAGTTTACATATTTTTTAAATATTAATACCACATAACCAAAATTTAATTTGTATAATTTATGTTAAATATTAGGTACTACATAGAAACAATTCAGGTGACCTACAGTATGTTTTATCTAAAATAAAGGTACTATAATGATTGTTTTAAACAATTTTACTTTGGCTTTGATGATCAAGATAATTCTGGGTATCTAATTTTGTTATCATTTAATTTAATGTCTTTACTTTTTGAGGAATTAAGATTTGTTTTTTTCAGATTGGTTAATTGGTCCACAGCATTTGACTCTTTTTCTATTACTGAATTAAGCGAAATTTTTATTGCCATATTTAATTCGCATTTTCATGTACTATAAACAACATAACTAAGAGACCAAACGATTTTAAATCCCAAAAATGCAACTGCATACCTTGAAGTTTTAAACTGCTATAGTAATATCAATTATTGGAAATGAATAGGTTTGGTGTAAATGTAAATCTGCTCTACAAATTATGGGACAACTATCACATAATAATATTTACATTGATTGTCTGTAACATAACCTCAAGTTAAGTTTATATATTTACTGCCATAATTTACAGACTTGGAGATGTATACTCTACAATGTAGTTAATTCTAGAGAAGATCTAGAACATTCTTTTTGAATAGTTTTGTATGTTCTATCTATACAATCATGATCCTTAGAAAGTAATAGCCTGGAGAAGCATTAACGTACGTAAACAATGAGAAATGCTTTAGATTACGCATCAAACAAAGATGTTTCGACAAGATTTCACGATGAATGCATGTGAATTTATGGTTGGGAGATTGTTTTCAAAGTGTTTCCTAATTAACACTATCAAAAATTTTCAACAACTTTAGCATATTAAGTACTTTAAAAGAGTAACTCAAAGTTAAATAGTTTTCGAAAATAGCATACGATGTAGATGGAAATGGTAAAATACGAGTTAAGGAGGCCATGAATTCAAACCCGAAAATCTGCAAAATACTTGAACATGCAAATTGAACTACAATGTACAAGAAGTCATTGGCTTTAAAATTACTATTTTACACACAAATTCTAATGCAAAAATTCTTGCGTAAATCTAAAATTATGGAAAAAGACTTACGAAGGGATATTAACGCCAATATGGCGGATGGACTAAAAATATATGTTTGAGACTTCTTCACATACAAAATGTACCGATAGGCATCAATTTCTAAAACACACCACAATTAACTTTCTTTCACAATAACACTAATAACAAGAAAAATCATTGTTTTTAAGACGTAAACTCAATTTAACAAATAAAACATTTACGAATAACACAGCACAGTCTCCCAAGACACAACGAACTTCAGACATGGCGGCTAAACAAGAGTCATGAGCGTCTCTGTGTATGGCGAATAATTAAAGTAAATAATGGTAAAATATGGGTTCCAAAATATTGTTAAATGCATATTATAAGCTTTTATTTGGTTTTCAAAGTAAAACAATCATGCAAGTCCAAAGATTGATTCCGATGCATTATTTCTTTATTTATAAATTCTCCGATTTTGTTTTTTTTTTTCCTCGCTTCGAGATAGAGTTGTCAACTTATGAACAATCTGAACTGAACAAATTGATTGATATCAGTTAAATGGTGAAGCATATATAGAAAAAAATGATAACACGGAACTATTAACTAATGTCGTTTTGTGGCGGTATTGACTTTTTGGTGGGGACGCGAGGAGTGAAGTTGTGTGAATTGTTTTATTTAGTCTATTTGGGGTTTCTTCAGGTTTAAATGTGTAATAACGGAAGTTTATTATCTGTTTAATATCTGTGAAAGTGCGCAAATGTGGGAAAATGAAACAAAGCCGCTGGACGGAACTTCTCGGGATCCTCCAAAAAGTCCATTGAAAAAATCGCAGTAAATGACCACCATTTTACTGAGATTATATTTAATTCCATATCATCTCATCTCATTTCATTTCATTTAATTTCATCCCAGTTGATTAATGTCTCAAATTAATCATGTTCATTTCATTTCATTTTACTCCATATCATTATTCATAAAAATAAGAATATCAATATGTTGCGTTTTATATGATGCGTAAGTCGGAACGCACGAGAGGTGGGAAAAATAGTCTGTGACACGGGCCCTTTTTGCCGCCGAAAATTTAAAAACGTAAAGAAATAAAATATAGTGTGTATAATCTTCTTCTTCTATCTTCTATCTTCTTCTTCTATATATATAAAAATGAATCGCTGTTCATTAGTCTCGCTAAAACTTGAGAACGGCTGGACTGATTTGGCTAATTTTGGTCTTAAATTATTTGTGGAAGTCCAGAGAAGGTTTAAAAGGTAGATAAATATGAAAATTCTCGAAATTTTATAAAAATAACAATTATGTTTTTCCTTTGATGTGTCCCCTATCGGATGGATAAAGCTTAGGTCTTTTATTTATCGATTGAGGCACTACGAAGACTGCCTGGTCAGCTAGTAACTACGATAATATCTTAGAATTATTTATGCCGTTACAACAATAAAACTAATATTGTTTCAACTGTGGTGTTAATTACATAAAACACGATTTTACGGCGAAATAAAGAAGGGACTCTATACGGACTTCCTCAAATATGTTAGCTGAGTTGAGATTTAAAAAAAAAACTTTTATTTTTTCTCAAGCCATATATACTTTAAACTCGATAATAAACTTTAAATGTAGTTTTAATTATAGTTATTTTCTGAGATTTTACTTAGAGATTATTATTTTTCTATTCATTCCATAATCATTTACAATTTACTCCCACACAACAGAGAGTTTGAGTCTTTTTAGAATTACTATCCATACTATTCGTATGGGCTGCATTCCCTATGCCAATCAAATTAGACAATTCAAATCAAAACGACAGCTGTACAATTAAGTAGGTATGTACCTACCTACCAAGGAATAAAGTATAAAGTAATAGGTGCCAACAGACATTGCAATAAATGTATTCATAATTTCAGTTGCGGTTTGCAACGTACCACGTATTCTATTTTCATAAAGTTCGCTACCAATTAGACTAGGCTTTGGTGGTTTATATGATCACATTAAAATTCAAAACGCTTTTATCTTCGTAGTTCACAGTTCAAATTAATATTTACAAAAGTTGAAAGTTTCTTTGGTTTTATTGCAGTGCACCTACGTAGCCCCGTACTAGGTTTGTGTTTCATTAATTACTATCTATCGCCCAAAAATTGTAGAGCTTAATTCTTAATTTTATATTATGACAACTTTATGGTCAACTTAAATGAATAGTTAATGGTAAAGTTTTCTGATTAACCAAATCGCTTAATGCATTTTTCACATTTCGCGTATGTAGTCACCTACGTCTTTCATAAGCAAAATTGTAATCGTGATGAAAACAATATGCATTTTCATCACGAACATAATTATTTAATTAGAAATGTTTTGTTATCAATAATGATATTGAACGTTTTGTGACGTTTCCAATTAGAGTATTTCATTGAAAATTTTGATTTAATTGTAATCTTCCTTATTTTTTCACCAAAACTAATTTTGGCTTGCATTTGGTTACATTGGCAAGTTGTTTCATAATGGATTGTTATGTAAGTTGCTACCAATAATTTACACTTTACATCCACAATGATACTTTCACTTTAGAAAAGTAGTTGGCCCTGATACAGTTTGCCACTCATGACATACAGTGTAGTACTTTCTAAACAGAACACCTAAAACTAAAATTTAAGGTGAAATATCTTTCAATTAGTTTTCTCAGTACTTTCATTGTTGTATAATAGACTTGCGCAAAACATCATTTCCCAATGTAATGTGATATGACATCACTTTTACAGACAGGTGATATCACTCTTAACATTACTCGGTGCGTTAAATAGATACTGTGACGAAAACATTGTATCTATACACCCGAATCATTACCAAAGTGATGTGCTCATACTTTGTATTGTAATACACTATTATATGACTTGACTTACTTAATAATATAATAATTTTCTTTTTTACTTATAATTTATTGTGGGATGAACGGATTTCATATGGCGACTTAGACTGCAAATTGAGCTCAACAATAATGTAAATATACGAGAGCAGTAGACGCCATTCTTTCTTTCATTTATTAAACACGCATTAATTAATATAAAATATTACTAAACAATTAAGAGCGACTAGCGATTTTACAAAAGTTACGAATAAAAAATTAAGTAACTACTTGCGGGGAACTACCGGCTGGCCACATGAAAAATATAAACATAAATACCTATATTAAAATTCAGACGTACCATAGGTATAAAAATGTACCTAGCGACCAGGGCATACGGTTCAAAATCACTAGGAATAATTCCGTGTCGCTTGCTCATGTATTTTGCGTAGTGCTGTAGCACTGCACGTCAAGCCATCGCGTTGCAGCGTCGATCGGTCTGTCTCGCTCGCTCGGTTCCCTTCATATAATAAGCAACATTACACGACAAAGAAAGGAACATGTTGGGTGATAGTGTGATGTTTGTTTCCTTCGCGTAATGTGTGATGTTGCATTACATCGTAGAGTCATATTACCGGAGTAATATCACTCGCGTTACTTACACATGTCTATTGTATAATTTATCAAAATCTAACTTATTTTTTAACTTGTTCTAATTATGTTAAAAAAGATGTAACGGAATTATATCAGAAACTGAAATGTTGTTCTTGTAAATTGTTAAATTAAATATTAAAACTTATCACTTTTGTTAATTCATATTGCTTTGACTCTCATTCTAAAGCAAAGGCTGGTGTATATAAAGGCTTAGCTGATTTTTTAGTTAAAATGGTATGTTTCAAAAAAATTGAAGACAATTTTGTTCAATTATCAATTAATAAAGACTACAAATATTTCTGTAATAAAAGCAATGATTGACTGGACATAAAAAACTAAAAGCTAATAAATTTCCACTGATAAACAACTGCATTGTTCTGAGTAAGAATAATTACAATAAATGAATAGATAGCAGTGGACAAATAATAAAGTAATCTCAAGTGCACTATTTAATAATGATTATTATCAAAGGTTGTAAGTAACAATGGTTATGCTTATCTTGTACTGTTTTCAAACAAGCTCTGCTTTAATGATTTTCATAACAACACTACTTAATACAATATTGATATAAACTTTATTCATCAATATTTACTTTTTCATTATTTGTCTTCCTTTGAGCGGCGTTTCAATTGAATTATATAGTCTCACTGTTAAGTCTACAAATATTTCTGTCTGTCTATCAACATTTAAACCTAGTACTTTTCTGAAATTCATTTCAAACCTTTATTCCAGATGGACGAACATCATGAACACCACAATATGGATATGGGCCATGCTGGGCATGAACACCATGGGATTGATCATTCAAGACATATAGGCCACCAAATGCCTATTAATGTGAGTTAAAAGTAAATAATATAAATGATACATGATACTTTAAAAGTATGGAATCCATTGATATCAAGTGGACTATTCAACATCGTAAAGTATAGGAAAACAGCTGAGAGGAAAAAAGCACAGATGTCATTATGTTTTTTTTATCAAATAGAAAAAGTTTAAAAAATAATTGAAATAAATAAATAATTGATTACTTATTTCATTGATTTTATTCAAACAATTAAATTTGCTGCTAGTAGGCTTAGATCTTATTTGTTTTTTTTAATAAATAATTATTGAGTATGCATCAAACTTCAAATAAAAATGTATCATGCTTGTTCAAACTGCAAGATACATGGTTTATTTGTTCCGTTTTTTTACCTGCTATTATACTAACTAGGTTTTTTGAATAAAGCCTTAATTTGGATGGGTAGGCACTTAGGCCGTTATCTGCAACTGATCACAAGAATTCAATTACTATGTTTATTTTAGTGAATAATTTTAAGATGAAATGAAAACTGTGTCAAACAAATTGTAATTATTTCAGGGACTTCTTAATTCATCATATAACAGAATTGTGCACAACACAGATATGAATGATCACAATGTCCACACTTTTTCAGGCCATGGTGATCACAGTAGCCACAATATGGGCATGTCCATGACGGTAAGCAAGATATCTCCTAATGTTTCTAAAACATGTTTCCTTGTTGAATTGTTTTTTAAAGGGATTTTATGACCTGGTAACTGAGACCTTTAAGTCATGTCTTATTTTAATTTATATTCATATTTTTTATGAAAAATGATATTATGGAGTGAAATGAAATGAAGATGATTAATTTGAGACACTAATCAGCTGGGATGAAATTAAATGAAATGAAATGAGATGATATAGGATGAAATATAATCTCAGTAAAATGGTGGTCATTTACCTACTAAGATTTTTTCAGTGGACTTTTTGGAGGATCCCGAGAAGTTACGTCCAGAGGCTTTGTTTCATTTTCCCACATTGGTGCACTTTCACAGATATTAAACAGTTAATAAACCACCATTATTACACATTTAAACCTGAAGAAACACTAAATAGACAAAACAAAACAAATTACACAACTTCACTCCTCGCGTTCCCGCCAAAAAGTCCTTTCCTTGTTGAATATGCATTTTTGAGTAGATTAGCATGCTGTCTTTATCTATGTAGAGAGTAAGTTTAGAATAGCAGCACCCCATTTCTTTGTGGTTGTCAAAAAAGAGACTGAGGCTTATAGGAGATGGCCAGCAGCTTTTTCTGAGTATTATACCAACGGATTGTGATCGCCAACCGGCATTTAGTAGGAACTAGGTAGCTTGAAGTCATCATGGCCATAGGATAAGACGGTACATTCGTATCGAGCGATACGACTGGGTCGGTGCTGTTTCTGCCGTGAAGCATAATGCGTTTCGGTTTGAAGGATGGAGCCTCTGTTGTACTGAAAAAACAGACTTAAGCTCACATATCAAGATAGGGCTGCATTAACATAGTTCATGTCTATGGTATTCAGTGACCATTTAACAACAGGTGGTCCGTGAGCTTGTCCACGTGTCCATTTCTATGCAATAAAATAAAGAAAATTTTCTCCTGGTCAACATTACTTAAAATTTTCAACATAAATTTTATTTCATTTTTAGTTTCACGGTGGCTACATTGAAACTATTCTCTTCTCTTGGTGGAACGTAACAGAAGTTGGTGAATTTGTGGGATCATTTTTTGCAATATTTATTATAGCTTTGCTCTATGAAGGGTGAGATATGTTTATAAAATGCAGTAAACAATAATAAAAACAAAAACACGAGCCTCATTTCTGAGTTTTTATGCTGAAATGTTACGTTTTTGTGTTGCAGCCTTAAATATTATAGAAAGCATTTACTATGGAAGACATATGCAGGACTACAGTATTGTGCCGTAGCACCACCAGACAAGGGAGTTGCCAATATTTGTGCAGCAGATGAACCACAAATTGTACAGTAAGTATAATCAAATTGAAAAAAATTAATCAAAACCTAAAAAGATTTTAAACCTTTCCAAAGGTAATGTCTTGCTTAATTGTACATATCTAATGATCTTTATCTGTTTTCGAACATTCTTAAAGTATAAGGTCATGTCGTAATATGGTGAAAATAAATCTAAAATATGTTACCAACATGTCAACTCAGTACTCATTTTATATTCAAATTATTTTAAAAACCCAACCTCTCAAACTTATGTGAACAAACACAGTTGTACACACACTGACTAGCACACGCAGTACACTTCCTTATTTTTAGTTATCTTTAGTGTGTTAACATAATGGTCTCTCAACTTTAATAGAATCACATAGTTGATCGGCGATTCGTCGGATGCGTGTATCAAAGGGTTAAGGAGAACGAGGGAATTCAGGAAATAAATTTCTACCCCTTCTGTAATAGGTGGGCTTCGGATAGCCTGCCGATCGAGAGGGCTGGTGGTCGTGGCGCCGACGACCACCGGCCCGGCGTCCCGAGGGGGAGGGTGATGGGAGAGATGTGCTCCGCACTAAACACTTCACTTTACCCCCTTTGCCTATTCATGAGTTCTCTCATGCGAGGCTTGGACGTGGGTTTTTGAACGACAGCAGGTTTTAGTCAGTTAGACTCCGGCATGTCCCACCGTCCATCCTCAGTGGAGGGCGGAAGTCCGGCGATTTCCTCCTAACCCAAAAACAAAAAAAAAAGAAACAATGCGATACCATGGTAATTGGCTTTCTTCTGGTTACTAAACCTTAACGTTCAGAGCATTTTAATGCGGTCCCCGCTCAGCTACGTGGGATCTATAGTGTTGGGAAGAAGTGAAACGCAAATATCCGATGTAAGCAAATTAACGTTTTTGTCAAAAAAGAAAGTATGTAAATCGCAAGATCACACGTAAGACTTAATCTAATAATATAGGTAGATTAATATTTTTACAAAAGTATCCAAAATTTTACATCACATCATAGATTAGATAAGAACATTTTAAGGCTATGTTCCGATATACACTGCCAGCACTGGTAGATGCTCTTAATAGAGAGAAATTCGTTCCGGTATGGACTGACAGTATAGTCGCAGTATTTTAGGGAAATCTATGACGTCATAAATCGTCGCCATTGTTCTACTGTGAACACAGGTGTTTCCGAAGCAAGGTGCTCTCAATGCTTTGATCACGTGATCACTTTTAACCCCATTTCAATAATTCGGTTATTAAGACATTACATTCTACATTAAATTGTTTAAAAAACTATATTTTATTTTATTAAAAAGTATACTTACTTTTATTAAGCGATTAATTCAGCTGACAATATCTTAAACACCTATTTCTAAATATAACCAAATTTAAACAATATTTTTTTGTGAAAGTGAAAAACATCGCCAAAAAACGTCGATGACAGAATACTATACTGCATTACACTACGTTAATTTTTAAAACGGAAATGTAACCGGTATAGCTAACTATAAAGGAACGGCTTCGCACTTCGCAGTAATAAATTAACGTCACACCTTTAGTGCTCGCAGTGCAAATCGGAACATAGCGAATATAAACAAACCAAACTATAATTTTTTTTTTATTGCTTAGCTGTGTGGACGAGCTCACAGCCCACCTGATGTTGAGTGGTTACTGGAGCCCATAGACATTTACAACGTAAATGCGCCACACACCTTGAGATATAGTTCTAAGGTCTCAGTATAGTCACAACGGCTGCCCCACCCTTCAAACCGAAACGCATTACTGCTTCACGGCAGAAATAGGCGGGGCGGTGGTACCTACCCGTGCGGACTCACAAGAGGTCCTACCACCAGTAATTACGCAAATTATAATTTTATAAATTATAATTTGCGTAATTACTGGTTAAAAACTATATAACTCTACTCTTAAAGTTATAAACTATATAACTCTACTCTCAATCGCGGTTTTTTTTTTAAAGTTGTGCACTGATGTTTACTGTCCCATAAATTAGCCTTTCCATAGGTAAAATTAAATTAAAAAACACTAAGCATGCTACTATAGATAGTGTTGTTATCTAATTGTAATTTTTTTTTTTTTATCGCCAGAGATTATTCGCTACTCGTTTCTTCTGTCTCTGTGTATCATTAATTACTTATTTTTTGTTTTAGGCCAATTCCTCATATGCTTGAAAGAAATGTGTAAGTACCAATCTGTATTGTGGATGAATAAATCGATTGTATTAGTAAAGGCCGTTCCAGTCTTCAAACTGAATGCGTGTTTTCTTCGCAGTCAGGATGGTAGTGCCTATCCATGCAAGCTTATTATATTCTGGTATCACTGGTAAATGGCGGTTCGCAATCGCATTTCTAGGTATAATACTCTGAGAACACTGCTGCCCAATCTCGAGTGAATCCCCTATAGTCTCCTTATACGATACGCATGGGAACAGATGAGGTGGTTAAGACAGACACCACACAAGGCATCTACTAATCTTTAAAACCTAGTTTTACCTTAAAAACGTTTGCCTCATAATCATTAAATAAGTTAATGTTACAGAAATCTCAAGATTTAAGTGTAAAATGAAATTTATTTTACTTCTAAATGTTAATTGGCCGTTGCCTAACTGAAAATCAAACAGGTACACCAAAAAGATTCGATAAGAATTGATTAAAACATTCGATTAATAGAGAGGATTGCAGTAGGGTAAAGTATTTTCGCAATTTTGTTGATTTCAAAACATTTAAAAATAGCTATGTTATTGATTCATAGAATACCTATAAATCAATAGCCATTTGATTATTATGTGCATACTGCAACCCCTTGAAACAATATGACCGACGCTTACAAAACTTTACTGTTCAAGTTTTATGATGAAAACACTTAAAAAGGTTTTTTTTTCTATGCTGATAGCCTTGAGAGGCTATTTCAGCTTCACCCTAACGTGTGTAGGTGAGCACACGGGGCTCAAACCGGACTGTTGCTAACACAGACCCTAGCAAGAGCAGTGCTTTGCAGAATCTACCACCGGATCGGAAACGCGACCCACTGAGAAGATCCGGCGAGAAACTCAGTGGGCTGTGTCTATGGGTTAATTCGCTCGTCGAGCCCTTCGTCGCAAGCGACGGGTTCGACGAGTACGGTGACCGGAATTAAAAAGGAATTTTGGGTATACGGAACATATTTAATGGAAAAATAAAAGAAGTATTTAAGTAATGTTAAATAATGTGATATAATTAGTACATCTCTGTCTGCTTTTTAACGGGAACCCAATGAGCGAAGTTAAGTTATTTGTTTTATTTTGATAATTGTATATTTCTTCAGGATTAAACTTGTAATTGTGGATTATTAAGCGTTTAGTATCAATGAATGTGCAAAAGTACCTATGGGAAAAAAGAAACAAAGTCGCTGGATGTGGCTTCTTCCTCTTCTTCTCGGGTCCTCCGCAATTTTCCCGAATTTACTTGGGTGTTATTTCATTTCATTTCATTTTGTTTTATTCAATTTCGTCCCAATGTAAAATGTAATAATAATAATTGAAAACTTGTAATCTCTACACTGGCATCGCAAGAAGCCAATTGCCATCGTGAAAAAAAGAAACATCCGTTAATCATGGTAATTTTTGTTTTTTGGAAATTACGACTAGAAAACTGCCAGGGAAAACTGAGTTTAAACTGGAAAATTATTTTATAACTTCGGATCATATTTTTTTTCGTATGTATTCTCACTCTTGTCAGAGCGGTCGTGGTCGTCATCCAGCATCATTGCTGTAGGATGGTTTTATGATGATTTTTGGATCATTTTACTTGTACTTTTTTAATTTTCTTATTTTCTTGTTTCAGTCCTACGATGATGAGCACAGCACACGCATGGCAAACGATACTTCATGGGGTTCAAGTGCTAGTTAGTTATATGTTGATGTTGGTTTTTATGACTTACAACACATGGCTGTGCGCTGCTGTAGTATTAGGATCAGCGACAGGGTACTTCCTCTTTGGTTGGCGCGAATCGGTAGTTGTTGACTTCACTGAACATTGTCACTGATGAAAAATGTTCGCAATTATAATGGTGATTAGTATTAGTTGTGAAGACCTTGTTTCGAATACTGCTCAAATATAAAAATCCATGTTATAAGAGGAAAGATTATATGAAGTGCTGTTGAATGATTTATACCAGTTATACAATAAAAAAATGTATCATTTTATGTTTGTACAATCATATTATTTAATAAAAGAATATATGACAATATTTTGTTATTTCATTTTTGCTTGAAGAAAGGCAAATTGGTAGGTATTATTTATATTTTTTTCTTAATATTAGTTTTTTGTGTTAGCTAGTTAACTAGTTAGCATAGTAAAAGTTAACTTAGCACCTGGCCTAAAAAAAAAGAAAGACTATCAAATGCTGCATTCTATTGCTACATTCAGAACACCCAGTTACGGCTTTGAAATAAATTTGTTAATGTTTTTTAATAGTGCTTGCATGGGTGGATGAGCTTAGAACCCACCTGATGCTAATTGCTTACTGGAGACCATTGTTAACAACATAGGTAAATGCCACCACCTTCCTTGAGATACGAGTTCTACTCAGTTCAAACTGAAACACATTACTACTTCACAGCAGAAATAGGCAGGGTGGTACCTACCTATGCCAATTTATAAGGCCACCTACCACCAGTAAACAACATTATAATAAAATAATTCATAGCAACAATTCAATTTATTTTTCTTTTATTCAAATTTTCTGGCTGTGAATTATTCAATGAAAAAAAAGTCCTCATAACATTTCAATGTTAGTGTTTTATGGGCACTTAGTACTAATAAGAAATAAGATAAGTCATGAAAGTTTATCTTATATGAATAAGAAATACTCATATTTAATAATATGACACATTACACTAAATTGTAGTATGGAATTTTACTCTAAAAAATACTAATCTAGAAAACCCAAATGTATGTAATTTTTCTTTTAGTTATGATGTCGATGCAAACAATGTTTTTTAAGATTTGAACTACTATTGCATTTATAATTACAATGTTTACACTGATACGGCCTATCTGATGAATGAGTTCTTTTGTGGACTTTGAGAGAATTGATGAAGTTTGATCTAAATGAACACTTTTCACAAAGATACGGTTTTTCATTGGTGTGAACCCTCTTATGTTTTAAGAGATTTGAAGACAATTTAGAACTGTATTTACAACTAGGAAAGTCGCAAATAAATTGCTTATGATCCATCATGTGCTTTTTATGACTCTTCATGTCAGCACTCCTGAAAAATACAATTTATTATAATATTATAATTTTTTATTATGAGTATGATTATGATGCAATTGTTTTGGATTGAGAATACCTATGAGAACAAAGTCCACAAATCAAATTATATTTTTCACAGTCATTTGTTTCAGTAATTTGTAGACTTGCTTTAGAAACATTGTCTTGACTCTTTTTATGTTTTGATAAAAATTCAGCAATTGTTGATTTAGGCTGAGGACTAAAAACAATCGTGTTTCTTGCGTTTGGTCTACCTCTACTGTTTCGCACTGATTTATCTTCTAACCGAGACGAAATATGCGTTTGAAGTGGATTCTGTTTAATTTCCATAGTAATTAATATGCTGTCATAGTTATAAATTTACTGATTTTTTATTTTCAGTTCTTTATAAAATTTAATTTTCTCTCATGATATCTTTCTTCCGTTGATAGTGTTGATACGGTCCCTGAATCGAGTTTCATTTTTTGTAAATATTTTTGTAATATATTTCTTTAAATATTTTGTGTTTGGTAATGACTCTTTTGAGCCATTGTAATTTAGTACAATAACATGACTTTATAAAGAGCCTATTAAGATTGAAATATGTTTTATTTTAAGGGATTTTATGACCTGTAACTAAGACCTTTAAGTCATGTCTTATTTTAATTTATATTCTTATTTTTATGAAATATGATGGTAAATAGAATGAAAAGAAGATAATTAATAATAGATTAATCAACTGGGATGAAATTAAATGAAATGAGATGATTCTGGCACTGGATATAGATGATATGGGATGCAATATAATCGTTGTAAAATGGTGGTCATTTACTGAGATTTTTTCAGTGGGCTTTTTGGACGAGAAGCTACGTCCAGCGGCTTTCTTTCATTTTCCCACATTTGTGCACTTTCACCGATATTAAACAGTTAATAAACCACCGTTATTACACATTTAAACCTGAAGAAACAATAATTAAACAAAATAAAACAAATTACACAACTTCACTCCTCCCACTCCCGCCAAAAAGTCCTCAATGTCCTCACTCCGGCTCTGTAAATTGGGCCCCCTTTTTTTGTTTTTTGGATTTTTTTAATTTTTAATTATTTGTTCGTCGTTTGTTCGTTAATGCTCGAATGTAAAAATTGTTTGTTCGTCTTTTATTTATTTACAATTAATTAATAATTGGGAATTTAATTGTTTTCGAACAATCACCAATAGTCGTCGAACAAACGATAATTGATCAAAATTAGTTAATATGAGCGATAAAAATAAAGATATCTAGTAAGGAGAGGCAACTTAAGAGTGATCCTTTGTTTAATTAATTATAAATAAATAAAAGACGAACAAACAATTGTTACATTCGAACATTAATGAACAAATGACGAACAAATAATTAAAAATAAAAAAATCTGAATATCAAAAAAAGGTGGCGTGAGGTTATGGTTTGCTTTGCTCGACTTCCACGAGTCCACCATCTCGTAGAAGGAGGCGGCAGAACGAGAGAGGGAGAGCTCTTCCCTTTCCGCACCGATCCGTCGCCATCGAGCCGGGGGCCGGAGGCAAGAATACGCCCGTACATCCCGGCCCCTGTAGGTAGCGGCCTTCCTACGGTGAAGGCCAAGGGGCGACCTGAAGTCCCGACCCGGCAGGCTAGTTCTGGTCCAGCAGGGTATTCCGGGACACCAGCGGCACCGTCTGGGCGGCCTGACCGAAACGGCCGACGTTTCAGAGCCTTCGATTCGCCTCGAAGGCTCCGTCGGCTGGGCGTCGGCCTTGGGGTGAGCCGCGCCGTCTGGTTGTAGTGTTGACCGTGGTAACCCCCCTACCTCATCCGGGTTCTGGCCTCGGAGGGGATCGGACGTCGGGTGTAAGAGTGCAGGGGAGTCGTTTAGTAGGTGGGCCCTAAAATCCGCGCATAAGGGGCCCGCAGTCTGCTCACAACACCATGCATATCGTTGAGTCTCACATACCCCGCGCACCCCTTACGCGCGGGGACCTCGTAGGAGGTTCGACCCCGGCCCGAAAAAAAAAAGGTGATGGTTTGCTTATTAGATATAAAAAAAAAATGTGTGCGTGTACTAGTGTACACACGTAAGAAGTGAAACTTGTTTATGGCCTTATTTTTCGAAAAATGATCTACATGCAACTTTCTAGAAATTGGTTAAATAAAGTTAAATTAGATAAAGTTTAAACAAAAGGATTTTATTATCATAGACATGAATACAAATAATACAATTATTTCACTTTACCTTTTTGCTACTAAGATTATTACAGCATTTCATTAATTGTAATAGAATTATTACTATCATTGTCATTGTCATTATATATTTTTGTAATTAATGGCTTATGGTAACTGAAATATGAAATATATGGTTTACATTCCACGAAATTTAGTGACCGAGTAAAAACTCCATCAATTGTAGTGCCAGATCTTGTTGTTGACGTTTGAGGACTGTTTTTCATGGATAAATTCAATTTATCTTTCAGAAATTCAACTAGCTTCAAAGAATTTTCCGATGCAAAATTTACATTAAAATCTCCACTTAAAATCATCGGTATTTTATAATTATTGTTACCGAGTAAAGAGGCACCTTCACTTGTGTACGGCAACAATGAATGGTGAAGAAAAAGATGGCGCGTAACGGAAAAATGTGACGCGTAACCGAAAAATGTGACGGTAATTTTTTTTCCAACGCCGATAAAGAAGTTTCACTTCAATAATTAATAATTAATAATTGGGAATTTAATTGTTTTTATGATCGAACAATCACCAATAGTCGTCGAACAAACGAATTAATCTGAGCGATAAAAATAAAGATGTCTAGTAAGGGGGGCCCACTTAACGGTGATCATTTGTTTAATTAATGATAAATAAATAAAAAACGAACAAACGACGAACAAATAATTACAAATAAAAAAAAATCCGAAAATCAAAAAAAGGGGACTAAATTTACAGAGCCCCTCACTCCTCATACATAAATTACAGATAATATTTGGTACAGATTACAATAGTAGGTATATTATCTAATGTATCTATGACATGACCATAGTGGTTGGCCTAAAGGTCTAGATACCAGGCCATAAACTGAAAAAAAATATGACAATAGTCATAGATTAAACACAACAGTGTGACCAGATTTAGCAGAATTCTGCGATTTTAGCAGAATTAGACTCCCAATTTAAGGTTTAGCAGATTGTGTTGCAGATTTGAAAATAAGGAATTTTTTGGCTGAATCTTATAAAAACTTCGCAGAATTGTAGCAGGATTTACATCTGTGTTTCACATTTAGTCATTCGGGTAGTTGCGCTAAAAATATTTGAGGAATTTTACCAATGTCAAGTTTTTCTTCCAACAATGCCAGCACTCAAGCAAATTTTAGGGGATTCCCCGTTAAATGTTTAGCTTTGAAGTTGTGTGTAGTATTCAATGAACACTGTTTACATATTTCCTAAATAGTGGTCGGCCATCGTCACTCAGTTGTGTAATACTCTTAATTTGCAATTTCTTGATCCGCAAAACGGTTTATATAAAGAATTCACAAGTTTGGCTAGAACTGTTTCTAAATTTCCTAATTTGGTTAAAGAATCTAACATGCAAGCAATTGAGTCCGAATATCGGGAGGTGAAATTAGACAGAACAGTATCCAAACTGTTAGAATCTGGAGGAAGTTCTAATCCCAAACCTATGAGTTTGAACACAGAAATGTTTTGGGGTCACATTTCAAAAATGACGAAGGCTGATAGAACTAAGTAGTATCCGCACTTGGTTGATTTTGCAAAGGCCATGATGATTTTGCCTATGTCTAATACAGCTTGTGAGCGCCTATTTTCTCAAATAAGCAACATAAAAAAAACTTGCGGAACAAATTTAAAAATGAACATATTGCAGCTATTCTACATGTCAAACAGGCAGTTAAAGAACAAAGTAGATGCGTCAATTTTACGCCATCAAAAAATATGGTAAAGGCAGCACAAAGCCCGACAGTTCCATATAAAACATGGGCGCCACAGAAATTTTGAAGTTATAATTTGTTAATAAATATTTGAAATTGCCTTTTTTTATTCTTTTAAATCCTCGTAAAAATGATGACCTTATCTATTAGCAGAATTTTGGAATTATTTATAGAAACTAAGCAGATTTTAGCAGAATTTATACGAGTAACTGGCATAATGTTCGATTTAAATCTGGTCACACTGAAACACAATTTTATGACATTAATGTAGTGGTTAGTGGAAGTTTGTAAAATGTTTTGCGACGCCGTTAGCTTGTGAAAGAATTAAATAAAAAAAATGGCACAGCAAGAAATATCTTGTGGTTATGAATACATAATAACTGCTGATTTACAAACATGTCTCACAGAAGCACTTCAATGCAGTTATTCATTTATAGTTTCGCCCATTATTCACCCACGTTTTCGTAGGCAATCCACAAATGCCGGTAAAAATGGTGGTTTTACGCGGTCAGATATGGTTCTATCACCTCAAGATTGGACTAGCAGGATAGTAGCTAAGCTATCTCCGTACATTAACGTTGATTCACCTTCAGCGACTGTTAGGCAGCGTCACGAGGATTATTTGAATGAGGAACTATCATACTGTAGGGGACTTGGTGTGCCTGCAATCATGATATCAATACACGGGAGAGAGAGCAACAATTTAGCCAGAATTCTCCAAACTTATTATGAAACGAGGTAAGTCTGAGAAAATGACAATAACATCAATATGCAATGCAGTTGCAATACACGTTGACTGACACGGTAGGTAGCGCAGTGGTTAGCTTTCTTGTCTGCTAGGCTGAGGGCTGTCGACCCGGTTCGCACTTCAGCAAACATTCGTGTGATAAAGTATTTCTTTTATGCCATAAATAACACTATAACCCTATTGCTTATTTAAATCCAGCAATTTATAAATATAAACATTTCAGCCACCATCCGTCTCTAATATGGGCATGTGTACCTATGCTATGTAGTAGAACATATAGAGAATGCACTGAAGATGATGAAGAAGAGAAAGCTTGGAATGAGCCCTGGTACTGGTGGTCCAAATTCCATGAGCGCCTTGATTGGGATAAACGTGTTGGTGTTGTTTTGGAGTTGTCTGCAGATCTTCCATCACAGGAAGTAGTAAAGAGATGGCTTGGTGAACCAGTAAAAGCGATTATCGTACCAACATCAATATTTCATAATAACAAAAAAGGGTGAGTTTTAAATGAAATAAATATTTTGTTTTTATTGAGTATTAGAGTTTATGAATTAGATACAATAAAAGCTGTATTTGTCAGAGATTTTCCAGATGGTTTTCTTGAAAGTGATTGTAATTCTATATTTATTATTATTATTATTTCAAGATATCCTGTTTTGTCTCGGGCTCACCAACAACTTGTAGTTAGCATGGTAGAACATGAAGCACAGGTTATAGTTAGTGGTGCTCGAAGATCCAACATTGAATTCTTCGTACAGTATCTACACCGGGTGTGGAGAAGAAGGCCAAATCCAGCAAATGATCCTATGCTCAGCTATGCAAGAGGGTAAATATACTTACACTGATAATTTTTGTTGACATCTTCAGCCAAAACTGTAAAAGATGAAAATTTTTGCCTAAAAAAAAAATGCAGTCATTAGAATTTTATGCTGAATTTTCTAATTTAGCTGTAAAGCATTTAGCTAATTTTTTTGCAGCCTTGACAAAACAAATAATTAGACTTGCGCAAAACATCACTTCCCAATGTAATGTGATATGACATCACTTCTACAGACAGGTGATATTACTCGAAAACATTACACATCACTCTTAACATTACTCGGTGCGTTCAACAGATACTGTAACGAATACATTGTATCTATACACCCGAATCATTACCTAAGTGATGTGTTCATACTTTGTATTGTAATACACTGTAATTACTTGACAGAGATTGACTTACATAATAATATAATAATTTTATTTTTTACTTAATATAATTTATTGCGGGATGAACGGATTTCATATGGCGACTTAGACTGCAAATTGAGCTCGACGATAATGTTAATATACGAGAGCAGTAGATGCATTGTTTCGGCGCGGTCTCCTCAAAATGCATCCAAAGAGGACTGTACTTTAATTTAGATGCCATTCTTTCTTTCACTTATTAAACACGCATTAAAACAAATAATAAAACTATCTTCAAACAAGTGCTTAAGTAATTCAAACACAAAAATTAATATGAAATATTACTAAACAATTACGAGCGACTAGCGATTTTACAAAAGTGGCGAATAAAAAATTAAGTAACTACTTGCGGGGAACTACCGGCTGGCCGCATGAAAAATATAAACACAAATACCTATATTAAAATTCAGACGTACCATAGGTATAAAAATGTACCTAGCGGCCAGGGCATACGGTTCAAATCACTAGGAATAATTCCGTGTCGCTTGCTCATTTATTTTGCGTAGATCGGTCTGTCTCGCTCGCTCGGTTCCGTTCGTGTATCAAGCAACATTACACGAGAAAGAAAGAAACATGTTGGGTGATAGCTTTGCTAGAAGTAATAGTGTTCTGTGGGTGATAGTGTGATGTTTGTTTCCTTCGCGTAATGTGTGATGTTGGATTACATCGTAGAGTAATATTACCGGAGTAATATCACTCGCATTACTTACACATGTCTACAAATAATCTTTTTAATATACATTTCCAAAATCAGAGCAGAAGCAGAATACATGCTATAAAGTGGTTGCAAACAAATATTCCCATTCTGATTTACACATTTAAAGTGCTCACAAGAGTTATTTCCGGATATTTATATTAATAACATGCTTGAAGGCTACATTCTGTCAGAAGGGGCAGTAATTTTATCATTTTTTTGTGACCTTTGTAAGAATGAGGTAATCATTACTAATCATTCTTGGTGAAAATATATTGTGAAATTGGGCATGCCCCACTGAATAAAGAGTTGTTCGTGGCACTCTCTGATCTATAAACTACAATTTCGATTGTTGTCTGTTTTCTTCTTCAATATTTCATGTAAAACAGTAATTGATTAAGTAATTGTATTCATTTTAGCTGCTGTATTCAATGTTACCTGGGGTCATCTTGTTTACCACTAAAGGATTCTATCTGTTAATTCGGATTATAAACGGTGGTTGTATGAAATTTCATCCAAAACTGTTGAAATCATTTTGCAGGATTGACTAACAAATATAGAAACTTTCATAAAAGATTAGTTAAGGTATGTTAATGTTGTTTTCTAGTAAAACATAAAAATATATTTTTAGATGGGAAGACTACCTACAAACACCACTGCAGCCCCTAGCAGATAATTTAGATACACACACATATAATGTATTTGAAAAGGATCCAGTTAAATATAATCAATATCAAAAAGCTATTGCACAGGCGTTGATTGATGTACAGAAGGACCGGGCTGTGAAACAGATTGCTGAATATGTAAATATATTTTAAAAATAGTACACAATAATATGTTTAATTATTGCTAACATGTTGAATATGGGAATACAAGCTTTCAGCTCATTTAGTATTAAGCCAAGAAACACTACAATATGAACACCTACTAATGAGAAGAGGTCGAAGTTTAAATTGTTTTATGTAAAGTCTGCCTCTATGATATCAACTGAAACATAAGACTCCTTAGCAGTAAAAATAGACATGATTGATATATGCTTATCATACACCGTACCACCAGTAATATTTTGGTCTCTACTGTCAGACTACTCGAAAGATGGCATAGTTGCATCATTTGATATAATAATACAACCAGCATATTACCTATTTCGTCATGGATACTTCGATGTTTACAAAATCTTCTCATGGCTTGTAATGATTACGAAATTCTCATTGCCAAACAAAAGGTGAGACTCAGTCTATTAAAATGTTGATACGTACGTCCTTTTCAGTCCAAGAGTCTGAAGAGATCTTCGAAAGCCATATATAGCTATAAGTCCATTTTCATTTGTACTCATATTGGTTACCTCAATAATTAATATTTTATAAATGTACTAAATTGGATACAGTGTTTTCTTTGGTTGTACAAAAAAATATACTGTTACGTGGTAATTTTTATTTAATTATTATCTTAATATGAAATATCAGAGATTGGACTATGTTTTTATTATATTGCAGCTGGAGTCTGTGTCCATTAACGGCAGTAATCCCTTGTGTCAGGTGGGCCAGACTAAATAAATTTTTCAAATTAAAGCCCCAACAATGTTTTACTCATGTAATTTCCAATTTGTAACGCCCTATTTGATTCTAATTAAATTATCAGTACTTGATTTTCATAATACAGTAGGCGCGCGAGTTCATGTCCATCTTAAGGAATGCGATAATGCTGTGACCTAGTTAATTATGGTAATGTCGATAATACCTACAGTTTTGTTAACAGCTGTTAATTTGGTTTAATGTAACTTAAAGTAATTTTGCAAGTTATGAAATAAAATAAATGTGATAAGTAATTACTTATTTATTTCTAATAGAGAAAAATATATTTTTTATTCCAATTGAATTACTTATAAAATGAAAAGACAACCGACAGATCAGAGTCAGAATCAGTATATTTTTTCAGTAGGTTTTTTCTACCTGAACTTGTTGGAAGCGAAGTAGTCATGGTTTATTCACAATGAAATAACACAATAGCGTTAGCGTAAATTTTCGATATCGCAGACAAATGCGGGGAGGTGGGTGAAGGCGGCGCGAGCTGTCCCCCGCGCGTCGCCTCTGGCCCCGATGGACTTGAACTCGCGCGCATACTATACTTAGTTGATAGCACTTTAAAAAAATCTCAATAGTTTCAGAGCAAAGCGAGCTGTAATGTAGCATCTATCAACCAATGTTCAAAAAATGAATTATGCGACAACAATACGAAAGAGTTGATTAGAGATGATCCTATAACTGTAATGGTACTTGGTGCGGGCCGGGGACCCCTAGTGAGAGCCACATTCAATGCTTCCGATATAACAAATACCAAAGTTAAGGTTTGTATGTTTATTTATATGGAATGCTCTATTTCACTTTTATTGCATCGATAGGTGAACGACCTCTTGACGTACCTGGTGTTGGGTGGGTAATGCGAGTCTAAAGATACCACAGGGTGATTGCGTCTGTCGACCTTGAGTGGTTAGATTGAAGCTTCAATTGTATTGTATAAAGGCCGTCCCACCCGTCATTGCTTCGCGGCATAAATAAAGAGGGCGATACCACCTATCTGTGCCATCTTAGATACGATACGCCCTGCCACTTTAAATTATCACATATTTGTAAACTATTTACTGGTGGTAGGACCTCATGTAAGTCTGCGCGGGTAGGTACCACCACCCTGCCTATTTCTGCCGTGATGCAGTAATGCATTTCGGTTTGAAGGGTGGGGCAGCCGTTGTCACTATACTAAGACCTTAGAATATCTCAAGGTGGGTGGCGCATTTATGTTGTAGATGTTTATGGGCTCCAGTAAACACTTAACACTAGGCTGTGAGCTCGTCCACCCATCTAAGCAATAAAAAAATAAAAATAAAATATTAGTCGATGTTTTCTTTCCGCCGTGGAAGTTGTTCGGGAACACGTGTTGAGTATGTACATTATTAGGAAAATTACGTATCGAGGGGCGAAAGGCTATTTGGTTTAAGCGACATTTATCTTTGTAATTAAAGGTGCGTTTTATTTGGTATTTGCATTAACAGTTCGACGTTTTTAATTAAACTTATTCCATTAAGTTTACTCCATTCAAATAGGTGAAGAAGGTTTTTTGTTATGATAATTTTTTTTTTATTGCTTAGATGGGTGGACGAGCTCACAGCCCACCTGGTGTTAAGTGGTTACTGGAGCCCATAGACATCCACAACGTAAATGCGCCACCCACCTTGAGATATAAGTTCTAAGGTCTCAAGTATAGTTACAACGGCTGCCCCACCCTTCAAACCGAAACACATTACTGCTTCACGGCAGAAATAGGCAGGGTGGTGGTATCCACCCGCGCGGACTCACAAGAGGTCCTACCACCAGTAATTACGCAAATTATAATTTTGCGGGTTTCATTTTTATTACACGATGTTATTCCTTCACCGTGGAAGTCAATCGTGAACATTTGTTGAGTACGTATTTCATTAGAAAAATTGGTACCCGCCTGCGGGATTCGAACACCGGTGCATCGCTTCAACACGAATGCNTACCACCAGTAATTACGCAAATTATAATTTTGCGGGTTTCATTTTTATTACACGATGTTATTCCTTCACCGTGGAAGTCAATCGTGAACATTTGTTGAGTACGTATTTCATTAGAAAAATTGGTACCCGCCTGCGGGATTCGAACACCGGTGCATCGCTTCAACACGAATGCACCGGACGTCTTATCCGTTAGGCCACGACGACTACATATTTATTTGCAAAAATGTCGCTTAAACCAAATAACCTTCCATCCCTCGATATTATCATTTGACTAGCGACCCGCCTTCGCTTCGCTTCGGAAACTGTAGTTTATTATTGATTTCTCGACTATTTAATGAATCTTGTTATACATATAAACCTTCCTCTTCAATCACTCTATCTATTAAAAAAAACCGCATCAAAATCCGTTGCGTAGTTTTAAAGATTTAAGCACACATAGGGACAGAGAAAGCGACTTTGTTTTATAGTATGTAGTGATGGTTTTTTTTATTCAATCAAATGAAGCCTTAAAAAAAATTTTTTTTTTTTTTGAATACTTTTAGGTAATTGCCGTTGAGAAGAATCCATGTGCTGTAGTAGTGTTAGCTGCACAGGTACGAGAAGTCTGGCGTAATCGTGATGTGGTTGTTATACCTGGGGATATGAGGCAAATAAACTTGTCACCCAAAGCTGATATTATAGTTTCTGAATTGTTAGGTAAATACTTTTCATATATCACTTAATATATTATCCAACAATAACTTGATTACCCCTTTTTTTTATAATAAATAAAGTATAATAAAATAAATAGATAAACAACTTGATGGTATTTTTTTTTCTGGATCTTGAACATTAATTTATTGGGTTATTATAGAAAATTACTTGCTATTCATGTGGAAGGTGAATGTGAACTTGATTAATGGTTTGACTGAATGGGATGCTTTTAACTTTAACTTGACTCTTACAGGTTCTTGGGGAGATAATGAGCTTTCGCCTGAATGCTTGGATGGAGCATCGAATCTTTTAAAACCCGGCGGAATATCGATTCCAAGCTCATATCGATCGTATGTTGCACCCATAACGTCTCCCAGGTTATGGGCTGCCGCGAAAATAGCAACTTCAGGAATTCCCCAACAAAAAGATAAGAACCTCGAAACATTATGGGTTGTTTACATGCAGAATAAACATGATATTGCAGAAACAAAGGTATATTATATGTTGTGTATCTTTCATTATTAGACACGTGTCAATCATGTTGCGACTGATACGGCTAGATATTAATTTATTTCAATTGTGGACGTTCAATTGTGGAAGCCACCCAAGTGTCCCTTATTGTATGTTGGGGTATAATGTCCAAAATCTTCCCCAGAGTGCCAAACTTGTTCTAATTTTGATTAAATTAAATGATACACGTGCCAGTCCGTAAATAACGAAAAAAACAAACACATAAGGGTGCCTGTCCACCGGAGCGGAGCGGAGAAACGGGAGGAATATTAACCAATTAGATTGCACAAAATCATTTTGCAATCCTATGATTTTGACTATATCCTATTACGCTGAAATAGCCTCTAAAAGCTATCAGCTTAGGTAGGAAAAATAAATAAAAAGTATGTATATACATAATTTAACTTGCTTACAACCGTTGAAATCAAACAATCTTAGTAAAATGTTTTAGGTAGAAAACATGCCAAGTCAATCAGGTAAGTTTCTATTCAAATGTTTAAATGGTTAGCGCCTACGCCTATATTCATGATTTTATTTCAAATTCTTAATCAGTAGTTCAAAGATCATATAACAAATAATAAAGAACTTTAATATTGTATAACATTTCTAGCTCGTCTTCACGTTTAACCATCCATCCAAAGCCGTAAAGGATGAAGAGGGATGTGATAAATCAGATTACAGAGGATTACCACTAACCAACAATAGGCGTCAGGCCACCCTTACTTGGGATGTTCAGCAAGACAACATTATGCATGGCTTTGGAGGGTATTTTGATTGTACCCTTTATGGTAATGAAATGATCAGCATTGTTCCTGGTACACATAGCCCAGGAATGATCTCCTGGTTTCCAGTCTTTATTCCAATTAAGGTATACATTTTTATTCAATAATTCAAATAGAAAATGTTATTAGAAATGTGTTTAATAAGGTTTTAATTTATTTCAGACACCAATGCGAGTACAAAAGGGTGATAAAATAACAGCAACGTTCTGGAGGTGTGTTGACTCGCGTCGTGTATGGTACGAATGGGTAGTTGAAGTGGGTAACCGATCAACACCACTGCACAATGCTAACGGTCGTAGTTCGGAAATGTTGCTTTAAATAGGGCCAGTGCACTGTAACAAACAATCTATTGCGCAATAAAATAATGTAATCTTAATCGACCATCTATTGTTTTCATTTATAATTATTTATATATTTAAGTTGTAGACACGTAGAGATCGTATCGTCGTCTGATGTGAGTCTCACAGTGACAGCCTAAGAGTATGTGAATGGTGGGGTGTAGAATATGGATGTCCCGGGTTTGACAATCCAAATATCTGACTTCGAAGCCCAGTAACATAGATTACTGGGTGGTAGCACGTCTTGTGAGTCCGCACGTGTTGGTACCACCACCTTTTTTTTTTTTTTTTTTTTTTATGATTGAAGGATTACTGGTGGCCCGGAGGCCTTTCCAGTTTCACCAGGACAGGTGGACGAGCAAAGGCTCAGCCAGGAGGGGTGGGATTTGCTAACAGCTACCCGAGCGCCTCCGAATGAGATCTAACAACTCAAGAGTAGCTGCTTCGCGAATGAATCTACTACCGGATCGGAATCGCGACCCGCTGAGAAGATCCGGCGAGAAACTCAGCGAGCTGATTCATGGGTTAGGTTGCACGGCGAACTCTTTGTCGAGTTCGACGAGTACGGTTACCGAGGTCCCTAAGCCTGCTCCTAGAGCTGAAGGCGTCTAGAGCAAAGGTTATTGGATCTGATGGATCCGTAAGGACGTGTCTAGGGCGTCGACGGTGACTGGCTCCTGCATGATCAGGATTCGGGGAGTAGTCAGCGGCGGCTACGATAAGGCGATTATCATGACGCATAGCCTTATCGAAGTACCGTTCCGACGCTGACTTCATGTATTTCTGTATAGATTCGAGGCCCAGGTCGTCGTNTCGGGGTTGTGGTGTGTGAGTTCCACCTGATGTGTTTACAATTTAGGTCGCCCGCCAGAATGACAGAGCTTCCCATGCCGAGCAGCACCTCGATATCACTGCTTAGAACGATCTTATCCGGTGGAAGATAAACGGACGCGATAACGATCGGCGCGTGTCCCGTCAGTGAGATTCGGCACACTGATGCTTCGATATTAGCGAGCGCGGGAGGATCGAGCGGGACCACCCCGACTATTTCAGCCGTGAAGTAGTAATGTGTTTCGTTTTGAAGGGTGGGGCAGCCGTTGTAACTATACTGAGACCTTAGAACTTATATCTCAAGTGGGTGGCGCATTTACGTTGTAGATGTCTATGGGCTCCAGTAACCACTTAACACCAGGTGGGCTGTGAGCTCGTCTAACCAGCTAAGCAATAAAATAAAAAGGTTCAAAGTAAAATTGCAGTAAAAATTGTACTTGCAAATATGGTGTTACGGAGGTATTAAATTGTGGCAATTCCTTTACATGATGAATGGTATTTATTAAAAAGCACGTGTAAGCAGCCCTTCAAGCTGAAACGTGTCACTGCCTCAATTTTTGCGAGTTTTATTTTTATTACTCGATGTTGTGTCTTCAACGTCGAAGTCATTTGTGAACATTTGATACGTACGTATTACATTAGAAAAATTGGTACCTGTCTGCGGGATTCCAACACAGGTACCGCGCTCGATATGAAGCACGGGGCGCCTAATCCCGCACGCCACGACATTAAAAATTTTAAATTTTAAAACTAATAAACTATGGATACGCTCTGTCATTGACGACAATTTCTTTAGAGTGTGGGTAGATACCGTCTTGTCACTAGGAATACACGTATCAGATTCTGGCGACAAAGCAACGCAAAGCTGTCGTCACCCAAAAAAAATACTTGCAAGTATGAAAGTATATCGTCTTTTCGCATTAAAAGTGTATAATTTCCAAAAATATTCGAAATTGAGTTAATATGCGGAACCTTTGGTATCACCAGTATTTTTCTCATAAATACTGTCAAAAGAGCCTAGTTTAGTTTTCGTTTTTTTTTTTTTAGTTTACCTATATTTTGACTACTATTAATAAAATTAATACATAATGTTATCTTACTTTAAAAGACAGATAATGTAACTGGTAAATCTAAAGAAAAAATTTTCAAAGGTGATTAATATTGAAAATATCACACTCCTATAAAATTAGTAAGATTTGAGATTATACAGTTTTAATGCGTGAAAACGATATGTGCTGAAGTCGGAGGCTTAAAAAACATGAACACTCACATGAAAAAACTGCATAGAAAAATAATTCATATTTTATTAGGAATAAAAAACACAATCAGATTTGAGAATTAAAAAAAAAACTTTGAACTTCAAATCTTTTTGAACTTCAAAGTAATTTTTATTTATACGATTTTGCTCCTTATTCGTCATAAAATACGGTTTGAATTCCTATGCAAGTACTTTCAAATTTGGACCGCAGCGCAGCGTCCCAAATAGTACGTACGCGTACGGAGCTCGGCGCGTTGACGCACTTGACGCGCAGGGAGTGGGTTGCCGAACCCGAGTATTTCCCATAGATTATACACTTAATATATTTGAGTATTTCCGATGAAATCCGAATGCATGAACCGAAAATTTAATGCACATGCCATCTGATCGGGTCGGGAATTTGTCAATCAAATAAGCTAACTTATCTGAAATTATATTAGGAACATAACTGCGTAAACATGCATTTATAAAATATTAATACTTAAAAATCTTTGATACAACAAATACTTTCAAGTATTTTTAAAACCTGCTTTGAATTGACCCTGGTATTTTTCCGTACTCGTACTTAGAAGCCCTGGTATTCAATTTTGCAAGTATGTCTCATCGCTAATAGTGAATATATTACAAGTTAATTTTATATAAGTTTATTTTTTATTTTATTGCTTAGATGTGTGGACGAGCTCACAGCCCACCTGTTGTTAAGTGGTTACTGGAGCCCATAGACATCTACAACGTAAATGCGCCACACACCTTGAGATATAGTTCTAAGGTCTCAGTATAGTCACAACGGCTGCCCCACCCTTCAAACCGAAACGCATTACTGCTTCACGGCAGAAATAGGCGGGGCGGTGGTACCTACCCGTGCGGACTCACAANCACCTGGTGTTAAGTGGTTACTGGAGCCCATAGACATCTACAACGTAAATGCGCCACACACCTTGAGATATAGTTCTAAGGTCTCAGTATAGTCACAACGGCTGCCCCACCCTTCAAACCGAAACGCATTACTGCTTCACGGCAGAAATAGGCGGGGCGGTGGTACCTACCCGTGCGGACTCACAAGAGGTCCTACCACCAGTAAACAGATGAAATAAATGCAAAAAAAAATTCAACTAAAATGTGTTTTATTGAATTTTAAGTTACTACAGTCAACGAAAACTTCCAGGGGAAATTCACACTTCGCTCAATTCAATAGATGATGAAATAAATAACAAAAATATTTTAAATGAATTTAAAATGTTTCATCACTATTTTGCACGTGCACATTAAAACCACCATCGCTGCACTGCAGCGTGCCACGAGCGTATCGTGGTTCGCATCGTATCGAAACGTTTGTAAGGTGTATTATTGGAATATTGTTATTTTAACTAAAACTTATTTTTTTAATAATCGAACAATATTCATCTCCTTGTGAAAATCATCTATGTCTTGTTCCCATCTTTTTTCAAAATAGATACCTGAAAGCAAAACAAATTTATTTATGTAGGTACAGTGGATGTTATCTGTTATCGATCAACGTATTCTTAGCCCAAACCTATACGGCTATATAGCTGAATTGTCTGCAGGATCCTTCTTAAAAGAAGGCAAATTTTTACCTACTTAATATCGGAAATGATTAAAGAAAATTATTTGTTAAAATACAGTAAATGTAACAGATGATTTAAATTCGACCAATAAAAGATGCGAGATGTTCAATTTCATGTTTATTTATCTCCAATTTCAATGTAAATCGCGAACTTGAGAAACCGAACTCTGGGCCCATAGACACATTAATATGTGAATTCCCCTATCCACCTTGACACACGAGGTCGCAGTTTCAATGGTATTATTTATTTATTCTAATATTTTCACGTATTTCGGGTTTTGATTAAATAAGTAGCCAACATAGTCCCTTTAAGTTACAACGGTTTTTAGACTTACAAAATGGGGTATTGTTATAGTTTAAAAAAAAGTACAAGGAAATTTGTGTCACCATTTACGTAAGGTATCATTTTTATTTGAGACTAGCTGACCCGGCAGACTTCGTAGTGCTTCAATCTATAAATAAGAGACCTATTTTCATATTTATCAACCTTTTGAACTTTCTCTGGACTTCCACAAATAATTCAAGACCAAAATTAGCTAAATCGGTCCAGCCGTTCTCGAGTTTTAGCGAGACTAACGAACAGCAATTCATTTTTATATAATATATAGATTATAATGTCATTAGTACCAATTCAGGGACAAATAGTTATTATACTCGTAAATAAATATATCGTTAAATAAAAACACTTAACAGTTACAATCGTATAGGTAATATCTGAGAAAAAACATTGGAATGTTTTTTAACGATAAAGCTCACTATTTGAGCGGAAGTTCTATATTATGTCAAAAATATCATTCTGAATAATTGCGTAAAAATTTCGATAGTATAAATTAACATTTATACATCTTCATATGCATCTTCGTAGAAAGGCCCTTCCAGTTTCACCAGGACAGGTGGGCGAGCAAAGGCTCAGATAGGTGGGCGAGCAAAGGCTCAGACAAGTAGGCGCGCAAAGGCTCAGCCAGGAGGGATGGGAATAGCTAACAGCTGCCCGAGCGCTTCCAAAAAAGAACTAATAATTCAAGAGCAGCTGCTCTATGAATGAATGAATGTATGAAATTTCTTTTGAAATCTCGTACGTAGAATTAACAAGTTTATCCTATGTATGGTACGGTACGGTTCTCTGGTAAGTATTTGAAATTTGTAAAGTTTTTTAATATGGTTCGCGCCAAGAGGTATTGACAAACACCAATGTTTAATTAATAAAGTTCAACGAACTACAATTAGAAATATAAAAAATGGATATTTAAAAAACAGTGGCGTTAATTAGTTATTATACTATAAACTAGCCTTTCCCAAAGTGGGCGATAAAGTGCCCTCTTGTGGGCGCTGCAGGCCTAAAGGGGGGCGGTAAGAGACCCAGAAAAAA